AAGATCAGCCCTGAGCTGACATCCATGCCAATCCTCCACTTTTTGCTGAGGAAGACTGGCCCTGGGCTAACATCCATGCCCATCTTCCTCCACTTTATATAGGACGCCGCCACAGCATGGCTTGATGAGTGGTGTGTCGGTGCGCCCCTGGGATCCCAACCTGCGAACCCTGGTCCCAAGCATGCACTTGACCTTCAGCTCTGTTGAATTAGGACTTGCAGCTTAGTCATGAGGCCCATGCCCTTCCTCCCCAGCCCCCCTCCCTGCACTGGGAGCAGGTGAGGGAGTTACTTTGGTGTCGGGCTGTGACGTGACCTGTCTGCTCCTGGGTCCTCGTCTGGAAGATGGGGTAAGGTCGGCACACACCTCCTAGAGCAAATTACAAGGAACGATCCAGGAGAAGCGCTTAGAGCGAGCCTGGCTCAGAACAGCATCAGGAGAGGGGAGCTTTCCCTTGACTGGTGATATTTGCCTGAGGGAAGGAAGGGGAGCTGGCGGGGTCTTGGCTTGTCCCCATGGCATGTTTGTTAGACTCTTCGGGTTGTAGGTGCTAGGAATGCAGCTTGAATCAACAAAGCAAAAAAATAAGGGGGAATTTATTAGCTCATGTAACCACCTGTTGAGAGGGGTGTGTTAGTTTCCTGGGGCTGTTGAAACAAAAGACTACAGACCACGTGGCTTAACACAGCAGAGCCTTATTCTCACAGTTCTGGAGGCCAGAGGTCTGAAATCAAGGTGTCGGCAGGGTGGGTCCTCCTGGAGGCTCTGAGGGGGCGTCTGCCCCACGCCTCTCTCCTCGCTTCTGGTGGCTGCCGGCAGTCCTTGGCTTGTAGATACATCACTCCAATCTCTGCGTCTGTCTTCACAGGGCCTTCTTCCCTCTGTATGTTCTGTGTCTGTGTCCAAATTTCCCTCTTGTAATAAGGATGCCAGACATTGGAGTAGGGCCACCCTAATCCAGGATGACCTCATCTTAACTAATTACGTCTGCAAAGACCCTATTTCCAAATAAGGTCACATTCTGAGGTTCTGGGTGGACATGAATTTTGGGGGGACACCATCCAGCCCAGCACAGGGGGCTGTGCAGCCCGTGTCAGGGACGTCCTGAACCAGGACTTAAATGCAGTCGGGACCCCTTAGCTCTTGTATCTGTTTCTTTCTGCTTCATTCCTTTAGACACACTTTCTTGTTGAGCCTGGAGCCGTGGCTGCCCACAGCTTTCCGGCTCACCTTTGCCTCCATGGACAAAGGGGTTCACATCCCTTTCTTCTGATTTAAAATTGTCTAAATACTCTGATGGGCCTGGCACAGACTGTGCCCACCCCGAGGCCGTGGGAGTGGGGTTCTGTGATTGCCAGTGCCAACTGAAACCATGATTGGTGTTGGGGAGTCTTGGGGAGGGGGAGCAGTTCCCCAAAGAAAAGAGATGCTGTTCCCAGCACAAGGAGGGAGGAATGTTAGGCAGCCCAAGTTCATCGATACTCTCTACAGTCTACCGCTCGACTGTGTTGCGGTGGAGCGTCTCGTCCTTTTCCCAGCTAAACATTTTGCAGATAAGACAGGAGACTCATGGGGCCGCCCTGTGGCGTAGTGGTTAAGTGCGTGCACTCCGCTGCTGGCAGCCTGGCTTCGGGTCCCGGGCGCACACCGAGGCACCGTTTGTCAGGCCATGCTGTGGCCGCGTCCCATATAAAGTGGAGGAAGATGGGCACAGATGTCAGCCCAGGGCCAGTCTTCCTCAGCAAAAAGAGGAGGATTGGCATGGATGTTAGCTCAGGGCTGATCTTCCTCACAAAAAAAAAAAAGGCAGGAAACTCGTTTTCCATGATTTTATCTGCTGGGTTAGGGAATACCATCCTGCGGGCTTTCTCCTCCTCCTCTCAGATTCCCAAAGACGAGCACATCCTTCGGTTCCTGCGGGCTCGCGACTTCCACCTGGACAAGGCCCGGGAGATGCTGTGCCAGTCCTTGAGCTGGCGAGAGCAGCACCAGGTGGACCTCCTCCTTCAGACCTGGCGGCCCCCCGCCCTCCTGGAGGAGTTCTATGCGGGGGGCTGGCACTACCAGGACATAGGTGCGTCCCTTCACCTACGTCATGTACCGTGCACACTCTGGTCACTGCCGAATGCCACTTTTCACGCTGGCATCTTAGTTTTCGTTTTGATCCTTCCGGGCGTCTGGAGATGCGTTTGAGGTGACAGCGCAGCTGTGAAGCAGGCAGAGCTGGAACAGACATGGGGCTGGGTTAGCCCATCGTTCTTTTTTGGTCTTTGGGGTCCTACAAGCAACAGCTGCATGAATACTGCATCAGTGTCCTGGGGCCGCCAGAGCAAATGACCACAAACTGGGGCCTAAAGCAACAGCAGTTTATTCTCGCACTGTCTAGAGCCTAGAAGTCCAAAATCAAGGTGTTGGCAGGGCCGTGACCCCTCTGAAGGCTCTGCGGGGGACTCCTTCCTGCCTTTTCCAGCTTCTGGTGGCCCCAGGCCTTCCTGGGCTTGTGGCCGCATCCCCCTAGTCTCTGCCTCTGTCTTCACACCGCCTTCCCCACTGCGTAGCTCTCTGTCTCCTCTTCCTGTAAAGACCCCAGGTCATTGGATTTAGAGCCCACACTGATTCATCTCAAGGTCCTTAACTAATTACATCTGCAAAGACCCTGTTTCCAAATAAGGTCACATTCTGAGGTTCTGGGTGGATGTAAGTTTTGGGGGACGCTATTCAACCCACTACAAATACTTTGGATTTTTTATTAAACTGCCATTGAAGCGAGTGCCCAGTATGCTTTTCAATGTCCTTTATATACAAATTTACATATATTGATTAGGGCAAGTGCTTGAGTCCCCTGAAGGACTGGTTGGCACACTTTTATTGTACCCTCCGTCCTCATTTTCCTGGATCCGTATTTGTGAATTTGCCTACTCACTAACATTTACTTGTAACCCCAAATCAATACTCAGGGCACTTTCGTGGTCACTCACGGACGTGGGCAGAGTGGCGAAAAAGCGGAGTCGCCAACCTGCGTGTCCCCAGCTGAGGTGGAATGAGACATCCTCTGCCTTTCGCTTCAGCCCTCACACTGTAAACAAGCGGTCTTGTTGCAGTCTCGTTAGTGCCACAGTGTTTGCATTTTTGTTGGTGATTTTGCTGTTGAAAACAGCCCCCAGGTGAAGTGTGGAAGCGCTGTCTAGCGGTCCTAAGCGCCTTACGGAGGAAATAGGGTGTTAGATGAGCTCCGCTCAGGCAGGCGTTGTCCTGCTGCTGGCCGCGAGCTCTGTGTTAAGGAACCAACAACATATACTAAATAAGGTGTCTTTTTGGGCCGTCCCCGTGGCTTAGCGGTGAAGTGCACGTGCTCCGCTGCTGGCAGCCCGGGTTCGGATCCTGGACGCGCACCGACGCACCGCTTTTCCGGCCATGCTGAGGCCGCGTCCCACATACAGCAACTAGAAGGATGTGCAGCTATGACATACAACTATCTACTGGGGCTTTGGGGGAAAGGAAAAAAAAGGTGTCTTTAAATAGAAACACACATAAAACGGGTTATGTATTTATTGATCAGTTGACAAACATGTTCTGACTAGAGGCTGGCAGGACCTGACCCCGTATTTCCCCTAGAAGCGGGGATCCAGTGTTTGAGGTGACTTTATAGGACATAGCTACTGGGAATAACAAGAATTGACCCTATTAGTGTATAATTCTTTGTGTTTCCTTTTCCGTCCTCTCTTTGCTCGGCCCCACCCACCAAGACGGCCGCCCCTTGTACGTCCTGCGTCTGGGCCACATGGACACCAAAGGCTTGATGAAGGCCGTGGGGGAGGAGGCGCTGCTGCAGCACGTGAGTCAATGGGGTCCCCGCCTCCGGGGGCCACGTGGCTGCTGCGGGCGGAGCAGCCACGTGGAGGTGTGCCACCGCGTTCTCTGCCTTCCAGGTTCTCTCCGTCAGTGAGGAGGGACAGAAGAGGTGTGAAGGGAACACAAAGCAGTTTGGCCGTCCTATCAGGCAAGAACGCGGGCGGGAGCAAGTTCCCCCGAAATAGTAAAAACAGCCAAGGTTCATTGGGCATGGACGCTGTGCCAGGCCGCCTGCTGGGCGCCTGCCAGAAATGTCCTCGCTTAATTCTTACCAAGATCCTATGAGGCAGGGACTGTTAGCGTCCCGCTTCTTTGTGGAGGGGAAATTGAGGCTCAGAGTGGCGGTGCTCATCCGGGGTTCTAAGCGGGCAAGTGGGAGAGCTGGGACTGGACCCTGTTCCTGTCTGGCTTCCACTCGAGGACCTTACCCGCCGGGCAGTAACTTAGCGTCCCGGACTTGGCTTTTTGGGACCAGCACTCGCACGTCAAGTTCCACCTTGACCGTCTCCCGGGCAGGGGGACTCGCGGTGTCCCGGCGCATCCGTAACGCCCGTCCCGCCCCAGCTTCCCAGCCTCTGCTCCTGGACTGAGTTCCCCACTTCACCTTTCTGAGCCGCAGCTTCCTCGCCTGTAAATATCACTGGTCCTCGGGTGTCTTGCTGGATTATCAACAACACGACTGCGAAGAGATGATGCAAACGCGCATGTAGCACTTACCCCGTGGCAGGTCTTCTTCTGAGCACCTTGATCTACGTCATCCCCATCACCGCCCGAGGCGGGAGGGGCAGGCAGGGCCTGCTGCTGGAGCTCTTATCCTGAAATAGCCTGATCTGTGTGAAAATGAAGTGCCTTTGCTGTTTGGAGCTTTCCTAAGGGGATGTACGTTGGGGTGGGGGTGAGGAATCCATCAGTCAGGGTCCTGGCCAGAAGCAGAATTCACCCCAGATGGCTCAGATGACAAGGTATCACAAAGGGACTCCTTGCAGAGGAGTAGGCAGGGTTGGGAACAAAGCCAGGATGAAAAGGCTCCTGGGGAGTGTCCGCTGCAGTAAAACGTCCTTTTCCAAATGAATTAGTACTGATGAAATGGAGGCACAGAGAGGTTAAGTAACTTGGCCAAGGCCACACAGCAAGCAGCAGAGCTGGGATCTGAACCCCCGCCACCTGGCTCTGGAGTGTGTGCTCTTAGCGCTCATGCTCTCTCTGTTTAGCTGTCAGCGTCTTTTCAACGTTGTAGTAATAACCAGCTTTTTTTTTTTGTGAGGAAGATCAGCCCTGAGCTAACGTCCGTGCTAATCCTCCTCTTTTTGCTGAGGAAGACTGGCTCTGAGCTAACATCTATTGCCCATCCTCCTCCTTTTTCCCCCCAAAGCCCCAGTAGATAGTTGTATGTCACAGCTGCACATCCTTCTAGTTGCTGTGTGTGGGACGCGGCCTCAGCATGGCCGGACAAGCGGTGTGTCGGTGCACGCCCGGGATCTGAACCCGGGCTGCCAGTAGCCGAGTGCGCGCACTTAACCGCCAAGCCACAGGGCCGGCCCAACCAGCTTTTCTTGAGCACGTGCTGTGTGCCTGTCCTCACAGAGAGCTTTACGTACGCCATCTCATTTAATCCTAACAAGGATTGCTTGAGATGGGGACAGTTACTCTCATTACCACGGTCCTTGTGAGGAAGTGGCCCATGGCACACAGCTCTCAGGGGTGGGGGTGAGACTTCAGTTTGGGTGCTCAGCCATGAGCCCTGAACCCCCTTGCCACGTGGCCTCCTCGTGGTGGCAGGATCCACGAGAGTGTCCAGGGGCCCTGCCTCTTCTGCTCCCAGCCCTGCCTCACCGAGTCTTTCCGTCCACTCCTGTCTGTGGGCCCCGGGGTCCCTGGGGAGGGTGTTGGGGGCCCCGGGAGGTGGCAGAGCGAGGCGGAGCGAGGGGTCCCTTCTCTGCCACAGCTCCTGGACCTGCCTGGTGGACCTGGATGGCCTCAGCATGCGGCACCTGTGGCGGCCGGGGGTGAAGGCCCTGCTGCGGATGATTGAGGTGGTGGAGGACAACTACCCCGAGACCCTGGGCCGGCTGCTCATCGTGCGAGCCCCCCGTGTCTTTCCTGTGCTCTGGACGCTGGTAAGAGCAGGAACCCCGTGGAGGCCGAGATGGGGTTCCCTCTGTGAGCTGCCCACTTGGCCTGTGTCATTTCTTCTAAATGACAGCTTTATTAAGATGTAACTCATTTCCCATAAAGTTGACCCTTTTAAAGTGGAGTTTTTAGTATATTCACAGAGTTGTGCAACCATCACTGCAATCTAATTCCAGAACATTCTCCTCAGCCCAAGAAGGAAACCCTGCACCCATCGGCAGCCACTCACATTCCTGCCCCAGCCCCGGCAACCATTAATCCACTTCCCATCTCTACGGATTCTCCTGTTCGAGATATTCCATGTAAATGGAATCATTATATTTGAGGCTTTTGTGTTTGATTTCTCTCACTGAGCATAATGATTTTAGGTTCATCTGTGTTGTAGCATGAATCAGTGCTTCATTCCTTTTTATGTCTGAATAATATTCCCTTGTTTCATGTATCCATTGTCCTGCTTTGTGGATACAAGAGTCACACTCAGAATTATACAGCAAACCCTGGACTCCAGTGAGCTGGTTCCGAGCAGTGTTGGAACCGTTCTGTAGGGATTTAAAAACTTTTGCCCACGACCCACAGTAAGAAATAAGCTTTATGTTGCGACCTGTGTACACACATGCACACACACAAATAGGCTAGTCACGATGCACTAAATTGGTTTCACAGCCACTAACAGGTTGTCACTTGCAGTTGAAAACCACTGCCCGAGGCCACTGCAGTGTGGCCTGAGGTCACTGCGAGTGTCAGGCCCCTCCCAGCCCTACAGACTCAAGAGTCAGCGTCTGACCACGTGCCCCAGGATTCAAGGCCCAGGAAAGCCTGAGAGGCGCCACTGTGAGCAGAGGTTCAATCAGGTTGGAGATTCGAGAATTGAAAGTTAATTGGGTTCATGTTTTAGTAAGCACCTACTATGTGCCGGGCACCTTTCCCAGCCCTGGGGATTCGGGGTGAACGGGCCAGCCGTTGTCTCCCACACTGTTGTGGGGTGGGGGAGAGAGAAACCACATAACCCCCCACAAGTAAATGCTCACGGTTCCCTGTGGTGAGGGAACGAGGACGTTCAGGGTTCTTGGAGGGACTGCTCCAGGCAGGGGGTGATGCAGGGGAGTAATTTAGGTTAGGGGACTGAGGAAGGTCCCCCTGAGGAGCCGATAAGTGGCCGAGACCTGAGGAAGGAGCAGGAGTGAAGCAGGAAGGCGCTGGAGGAAGGATGGGGCAGGCAACCCACACGGCAATGGCAAATGGCCCACCTTGACGCCTTGGAGGAGCTGGAAAACTAGTCCAGGGTGCTGGGGCGAGAAGGAGCGAGAGGCCCGCTGGCCCTGGAGGAGGCTGGGAAGACGCTCAGGGACCGGCGCTGAGGGGCCTTGTCCTGGGGCAGTAGGGAGCCGTGGGAGGGCGGACTGCAGGACAGGATGTGAGCACACTTCTGAGGCAGAAATTTCTCTGGCTTCCGTGGCTACTTCAAGGGGCTGGGGAGCAGGAGCTGGGGGAGGGGGAGGGGGAGGGTGGGACAGGCAGGGCCTGCTACTGAAGCTTTTTATCTCGAAATATCCTGATCTTTGTGAAAATGAAGTTCCTTTGCTGTTTGGAGCTTTCCTAAGATGGTGTGCATGGGGTAGGGGTGGGGGCTGATCAGTCAGGTCCTGGCCGGAGGCGGGATTCACCTAGATGACTCAAACACGGTGTGAGATGAAGGAACTCTGCAGAGGTGTGGGCAGGTGGAGAAGCCCCCAGGGACTAGCCACTAGTAAGCCCTGACACCCCAGGGCCGGAGGGTCGAGAGGAGGGAACGGCCTTATTACTGGAGCCCCTGAGAGCCGGAACAGGGGTAGGGGCCGCCAGTGGGAACTGTGCCTTCCAGGGGGACTGAGGTGGGCGGGGAGTGGGGAAGAAGTACCCTGGCCACTCTCTGTTCCCACCTCCCATCTCCGGCTGCTGCCCCCACATTGGCCACACCAGCTGGAAGCCAGCAGCATGGAGTGGGGGACCACCTCCTGGGGTGGGGGCTGAAGGAGAGTGACCCGCACTGGTGGGATTCCTGGTGCCCGATTGATATTTTACCTGTGGCCTTCCTTGCTGAGTTGGCTTGTGCCCTGCCATGCTAAGGGCCTCAGTCCTTCTTTCCTTCACCAATTATTTTCTGAGTCAGACAGTATCAGGGATGCCGTGAAAAACCAGATCCACATGCAGCATAGAGCTTTGTGTTAAAATACTTCCCATCTGTAATAAACAAAATGTGGTCTGTCTATACAATGGAGTATTACTCAGCCATGAAAAGGAATGAAGCACTGACACCTGCCACAACGAGAATGAACCTCGAAAACATGGTGCTAAGTGAAAGAAGCCAGACACAAAGCCCACATGTCATAGGATTCCGTTTCTATGAAATGTCCAGAAGAGGCAAATCTATAGAGACAGAAAGCAGATGGGGGCAGGGAATGCTGCTAATGGGTACGGAGTTTCATCACCTTTTGGGGTGGTGAAAATATCTTGGAGTTAGATAGAGGTGATGGTTTCACAACAAAATGAATGAACTAAAAGCCACTGATCCATCCACTTTAAAATGGTTGATTCTACGTTATGTGAATTATACCTCAATAAAAAAAAGCTTCCCATCTTGCCTCCTCTCCCCCACTTCAGATCAGCCCTTTCATCAACGAGAACACCAGGCAGAAGTTCCTCATCTACAGCGGCAGCAATTACCAGGGCCCTGGCGGCCTGGTCGACTACCTGGACAGAGAAGTCATCCCCGACTTCCTCGGGGGGCAGTGCGTGGTGAGGCCCCGGCGGCTGCGGGCCTGGGCTCTGGAGGCGGGCTGTTGGTGGATTGCTGGGGCCGGGCTGCCGGGTTGAAGGAGGCTGGAGGGGAGCAGGCCCTTGTGTGCGGTGTGTGCTCTTACCTGGGAGGGCCGCGTGGCTCTTTGGGGGCAGAGCTTGTCTTAGAAGCTGCCCCAAGGAGAGATGACTCCTCTCTGAAGGAGGGACCTTACCTTGGTTCTTTCAAACATAGTGAGCGAGATGGAAGTTTCCAGAAGCCCAGAGACCAGGCCAGTCAAAGGCTTACCCTCCGTAGTCCCCATCCAAGACATTACCAGACAGCAGCCAGAGTTCACCTGCTGGCTTTGCTCGCTCTGCTGCAGGAGGAGGGGACTCGAATGTCCCCGCGGCCCTGGACCCTGGAACCAGGATGCCCAGAGGGATTTATCCCCAACCCACAGCGGCACGTCTGGGATGATGGGGCAACTGCTTCCAGGGGAGGTGGCCCCAGACCCCTTTCACTGCCTCCCCCTGGGGGTGAGATGATAGGGGCGACCCTGCTCACAGCTGTCTTACCTCATTTGGCGGTGGGAGGTCCCTCTTCCTCCTCTAACAGAAATACCAAACAGCAGCCTGTGTGATTTCGGGGTAAAAAGAGACATTTCCTAGGAATTTTGCCAGGCTTGCCCGTTCTCTCCAATTGTTGTATAGGTATGCATGGTTTATGTTTAGCAAATGGGCCTGCAGGTCTGAGAGTGGCTTATTGAAGGATAGTGACAGAGACCTCACACTGTTGATATTAGTATTTTTGCAAATGAAATGAGGGTGGAAGATTCATCGTTTGGCTCAGCCACTTTCTGCTGTGTGATCTCGGGCAAGTGGCCTGACCTCTCTGAACCTCCGTCTTCCTCCTCTGTGAAATGGGACAAATACTAGTTCCTACTGGGTTGGTGGTTGTGGGGGTTAAATGGGGTCATGGAAGCCTGGTGCCCAGCTCACTAAGGGGTCACACCTTTCTGTGGGTCAGCCAGGCCTGGCTGGGCCCTGACCTGCCATTTTTGTCTTTGTCCCCCAGTGTAATGTCCCGGAAGGAGGACTGGTGCCCAAGTGTCTCTATCTGACAGATGAGGAGCAGGAGCATGCGGACCAGCTGCCGCAGTGGAGGGAGACCTACCAGTCGGCCAGCGTGCTCTGCGGGGCCCCCCATGAGGTGCTGGGGTCCTGGGAGGGCCCGCTGCCTGGGGTGTCGTCTTAGGTCAGGGTCCTCCAAAGCAGAGCCTGAGACGAGGGTTCTGGTGCCAGCGATCTGCTGAGGGCGAGCTGTCAGGAGAAGCCTGTGAGGAGAGTTGGGTCAGGAGGGGCGTGGGAGGAACCTAAGCAGAGAGGTGGCTTCAGCTGCTGTCCAGCCCAGCCTGACCCTCGGGAAGCTCTGCACTGTGCAGGGCTCTACAGAATGGGCTGCCTCTCCTACCCTCATATCAGCGGGTCGTTGGCTGTGGGTCACCCCCCGCGGCAGGGTGGGGCCTCCCAGGCGTTGCACAGAGGGGTCCATTTGCCCAGAGCAGTTCTTGGACCTGGGGCCGCTGGGGGCCTGAGCAGCCCATCCTCCCCACAGTGGGGAATGGAGACCCAGGGGCACCACAGCACCTTCCCCATCCCAGCATCCCAGCTCCCCGTCCTGGTGGGATTCCAGACTGGACTCGCAGACCTCACCTGTCCCCACGCAGGTCGCAGTGGAGATTCTGGAGGGGGAGTCGGTCATCACCTGGGACTTTGACATTCTGCGAGGGGACGTGGTGTTCAGCCTGTACTACACCAAGCGGGCACCCACGCCGGGTCCCCGGGAGCCTGGGACCGGGGCCAGTGGGCAGCTGACAGACAAAGGCTGGGTCCTGGGCGCCGAGTACAGCCGCGTGGAGGCCCCCCTCGTCTGCCGGGAAGGGGAGAGCATCCAGGTTTGCATTCTTCGGTTCATTTATTCATTCTTCACGCAGGATTGAGCATCCGCCGCATGCCAGGGTTCTGGGGGCACGGCAGTGGGCAAACTGGACCTGGTCCTCGGCCTCAGGGCCCCTGTGGGACAGTGGGAAGAAAGACAGATCCTGGCAGATCCAGGACCCCGGGGACCCCAGGACCCCAGCCTCAGAATCCCCTGGGACTCTTGTACAGATGCAGTTTCCAGGGCCCAGGCCAGGCGGGCTAACTCAGACCCTCTGGGCCTGGGGCCTGGAATCTGCATCCTTTACCCTCTTCCGTGACCTGTGGTGCACACTCAAGCTGCAGAACCCACGCACCAGAGCAACTGTGGGTCTGGGAACAGAACTCGGCCGTGTCACCCGAACATGCATCACCCTGCTGTCCCCACATTCTCCACGAGGCAGTGCTCCAGGTCATACATCACTGGCCCCCAAAGACACGCTCACACACTCACACACACACACACACTGGCGAGCCCCGCAGATCTTACTGGAGGTTCCGTGGCAGTCGAGCAGAGGCCCATCTTGGACACACCAGCACCTCCCCCTGGGGTCCACTGAACATCCCAGCCCTTCCCGAGGTTGCTCTTCTTATAATAGCTAACCCCCCATTCCTCGCTGTTCCTCAGCCCTCGACACACCGTAACCACGTGCAGCTCCTCACACAGATCCCTCTCCAGGTGCCTGAGTTGGCACATCCCGCTCAGCAGAACAGAAGCCCAACAAAATCCAGGCGTGTAACCAAACCACAACTCTGTTGTCCCGCAGCCACACGCCCGGAGGCCTTGACTCCCCCAGATCCAGAGGGGGCCTCTCAGCTGCCAGGGATGTGGGGTCACATGGAGGGGAGCAAGGATGACTTCGGGAGGCCCTTCGAGGAAGGACTTGCTGGTGGGTTGGTTCAGAAAGGGACTTGCCCCCCAGGAGGACCAGGCCTCAGGCGTATCCGCTGTGTTTCAGGGCTCCCACGTGACCCGCTGGCCCGGTGTCTACTTGCTCCAGTGGCAAATGCACGGCCCCCCGGGCAATGTGGCCTGCAGCCTCCCGGGCGTGGAGGACGTCCCGACTGCGCTGCACAGCCCCGGCCCCAGGTGCAGGCTCCTCTATTACTACGAGGTGCTGGCTTCTGAGGACTTCAGGTAGGAGAGGCGGGAGAGGGGCCTGGCAGGAAGGGCCCCCAGACGCCCTCTCAGCCAGGCCGAAGCACTCCTGAGGTCCCTTCCTCTGGGCTGGGGGCTCTGGCTTCACCTCCCCTTTTTGCCTCTGAGCTTCTCCAGGGCTGGGGCCCCAGCATTGGTGTTAAAACTTTGCAGCGATTCAGCACCTTAGCCTGAGAAGTTGGGTCGAACGCTATGTCCAAACTCTGCCTCAGTGGCAGAACCCTCCCTTTAAATGAAACCCTGGATGGAAGCCCAACATAGCAGACTGATTGGTGAGGGGAGAAGGGGAGCCCGAGGCCCTCCTATTTAGACCTCCCCTCACTCCTAGGATTCCGTAAAACAGAGTTTGGACTGTTCTAGAACATTCTAGAATAGTGCCTCACAGATAGCTTTCCCCAAGTGGTGCTTTTAGAGAGACAGGGCAGTGTAGTGGTTAAGACCTCCGGCACTTCCTGGTTGCTGTGTGTCCTCGGGCAAGTCACTTCACCTCTCTGAGCCTCAGGCTCCCCATCTGTTAAATGGGGACCACTGGAGCCCCTAATCGTGGGGTTGTCATGAGGATGAAATGGTGGGGAAGCCTGCCCTTCAGCTGGGCACACTGTAAGCCCTGACAGCAGAAAGGAAGCAGAGGCTGAGGAGATGGAGCAGGCCATTTCCTCCAGGCCTTGCATTTTATCTTTTAAAAATGGATGTGATGTTGCATCCTGCTTAGTGATGTACTGTGTGTTTCCTTCTAAAAATAACACTTTAAACTCTTTACCAATTGAGGCTCCAGGCAGGTGTTGCATCTGGACCCACATCCAGGGATCCTGGGGACACATGCAGCCCCACACTGGAAATCCCGGGCCAGCGTCTTTACTCCGAAGAGAGACCCCAGAGTGTCGGGCGGCTGGCGATTCCCTCTTTGGGAAGCGGCCTGTTTTGGCCATCGGGCCTCAGTGCGGGGTGGGGGGATTGAGGCCCAGAGGGACTCAGACATGTAGACGTGGGCGTCTGGGGGCTGCTGCCTCTGGGAGGGCGGGTGGCGGCTGAGGGGTGGGCCGGACGCTGCTTCCTGGCCTGTCTGGTCTGGTTGGTGTGGAGGATCCTGCCTCCCTGACCTTCAACAGCCTCACAAGAGAACCAGTTCAAGGGCTGTTGCCTGGCTGCCCGCAGTGGGTGGGCACTGGGCTGGGCCTTGGGGGACCAGACGGACAGGGCCTGCCGTCATGGAGCAGGGGGCCATGATCACACCTGTGTGTCATCATGAGCAGCGAGGGATGCCGTGAAGGCGTGTCCAGCCTGGAGTCCCTGCCGAGGTCACACCAGGAGGTGCTAGGGTCTTGACTCAGGGCGCTGTCAGAGCCCAGAGCACGGGGCTGGCACAGGGTGGCGGGGGGTGGGAGGTATCTGGGAAGTGACATTGGAGTTGAGATCAGGTGCTGTGCGCACAGGTCACCTGGGGGTCTCTTCAAAATGCATCCTGTGCAGCCGTGGGGCGGCCGAGCGTCTGCGTCTCTAACAAGCTCTCTTGAGTTCCAGCTGCTCTCTGAGTAGCCAGGCCCTCGAGCTGCTCTGTCCAACCCGGTACACTAGCCCATGAGGCCATTTCTGCCTGGCAATTAGAATGAAATAAAAGCAAAGATTCAGTTCCTCAGCGCACTAGCCACGTTTCCAGCTCTCAGGGGCCCCGCGTGGCCCATGGCTGCCGTGTTAGATGGCGCAGACGTAGAACGTGTCTGTCATGGCAGAAAGCCCTCCTGGAATGGCGCGGCTCTCAAGTTTGGAGTGGAGGTCAGCTAGGCAGTGCAGGCAGGAGAGAAAGAAGGGCTTCTGACTGCAGGCGCAGATGCGCGAAGGTCCCAAGCAGGGCAGGCGCGTCCCGGAGGAGCTGAAAGGAGCTGGGGGACGAGGCCGGAGATGGGCCCCCTCTGGGCCATGCCAGGCGCTCAGGTCAGGGAAGCCCCTGAGTGGTTTGTGGCAGGCTGGGCTCTGTGCTTTGGGGTACAGGGGTGCAGGGAAGTGGGTGGAGCTTCATTTCTCATCATGGCTTCACGTGCCTTTCCCTCTGCACTTGCCCGCTGCGCCCTGGGGCAGTTACCTGCCTGTGGAAAGAGCCCTGGGCCCTCAGGTGCAGCATCACCAGCTTTCCCACCCCTGCATGTGGGCCCCAGGGCTGGGTCACCACCAGAAGGTGACGTGTGTGCGATGCCCTTCCTCTCCAGGGGCTCCATGTCCAGCCTGGAATCCTGCACCAGCCGCTTCTCCCAGCTCAGCGCCACCACCTCTTCCTCCTCTGGCCAGTCCCACAGCAGCTCCCTGGTCTCCAGATAGCCGGGACCGAGCCCTGGGGGCAGCTCGCTCGCCCTCCGAGTCCACAAATATCCAGAACCAGAGGCCAGCTTGCCGTGAGGTCTGGGACCATGTGGGCTGCAGCCCGGGGTCTGGACGCTGCCGAAGGTGAGGTGTCGGGAGCCGACGGCAACGATCCAGCTCATGGACTCTGGAGGTTGCAACGATGGAACCATCTGCTTTGGGCTTTGTGTAACGCAAAGCCAAGGGCTGGGCCGACCACCTTCTGGTCTTCCAGATCAGGGGGCTCAGGGATGTCATGAGCTCAGTCCCCCTCCACCTCTGGCTCTGCTTTCCCTGGGGCGGCCTCCTTCTCAGGTGCCTTCCCCACGCAGGGGACCCCTTCACCATTAGGCTCCCTCCTCCCTCCCCCCAGCTCAGCTGCAGAAGAAAACCTCTCCCCCCAAAGCTCCATCCACCATTCCAGAATTGAGTCTTATCAGCCTGCTTGGGTCGCACCCCAGCCCCTGGACCAATCACAGTTGCTGGGGGAATGGAGAACACTGATTGGCCAACAGGGCCCTGTGTCCAGTCTGGACCAGTCACTGTGCTGGATCATGTGCTTGTCCCTGGAGCCAACCACTTGGTCTGAAAAGCACAAAGAGGGTGCCTCTAGGAATATCAGGGTCCCCCCAGGAGAAGGGGGAAAGGATGCTGGGCAGGCAGAAATGATCCATGTTCAGCATGGCATCTGATCCCATCTCGATGCCCTGTGTTCCAAGAAGTGCACGGTGAGTAGTTATATCAGTTACAGGCTCAGCTTTCCGTGGGGAGCCGCCCACTCTGGACTTGAAATCCATTTTCCCAGTGCTTGCCTGGGAAGGCCCATGGTTTCTGCTAAGTTCTAGGCAGTGATGAGGCAGCTCCAACTGTCTTTATTCTCTGTGGGAGTCCCTTTCTCTCCTGGGAGCTGTTTAATGATGACTTCTTGTGGTTGTAAGTCGTAGAGACCCACACAAAAGGGTAACCATTCATGGGCATATGTAACTGGCCAGTCCAGGAGAGCTTGCTTCAGGTAAAGCTGGATCCAGGATCTCAACATGGCATCAGGACTCCCCTGTGGGATAGAGCCTGTGACTTTATTGTGTCTTCCATGGGGCAAATTGACACCTGGAACCAGCTTCAATATTGATAGACTTTCCCCCAGTTCCTGCATCGGAGAGTCTTGGGTCTCCTTAGGACCTGAAGGCATTTTTCCTTTCCTGGGCCTCCAAAAAGGCAACAGGCTGGAGGTCACCAGCTGGCAGCCTGCAGTCTGATCTGGCCTGCCTTTAGTGTTTTTGTTTTTTGCTTATAGAGGGATTTAAAAATTAGGGCATTTCACACAGAAATCAGGATTTCTGGCTTCTCTTAGGCATTTGGGAATGTTGGCAAAATGGGCCACTATTGCTGCATAAAGGCAACACAGCTGTGGCCTGGAGGGGGCCACTCCAGTCCCCACCTCTCTCTGTGGACCCACCTCACTCACTCGTGTTATCTGCTTGGGAGGGACCTCACTGAAATGGCAGCCTGGAGGCAGCTTGGGGGCAATCTGGGGCTGAGCGGGTCAGTGTCACTCTTATCTCGCAGCCCTGGTTACAGATGGGGGTCATCTCTGGCTGACGCCCACAGTTGCTGGGCCTTGCGCAAGGGGTGGGTTTACGACCACAAGGATAGTCGCCTCTGTGCAGGCTGGACGTACTGGGGCGAGGAGAGCAAAGACTTCCTTCCGCCAACCTCAGCCCCTAACCTGGAGCAGAGGGGTGGAGCCTCGTCCACCTTCGGTTGGTTTTCTGGTTACTTCTCAGTTGTAGGAACAAAATCCCAAACTCTGCATCCTGCGCCAAGGCGTGTGTGCACAAGGGAGAGAGAAAGGTGGGACGAGACTGGAAACGTTCTCAAAACTGATTGCTCCACGGCACCAGGCATTTATCGCTGAGAGCAATTTGTGATATTTTCAACTATCTTGAGATGAGTTTCCAGCTTGCCTCTAAAAACTAGGTGATATTCTAGAAGTACTGTGGGGTAAGCTGCCCCGGCGCCCCCTGCACGTTTATTGTCTAGGACTAGCACCCAGGGAAGGAGGGAGAAGCCTTTCCTTGACATGGAGTGATAAGTGGCTTTTGACAACTGGAACCTGGATCTGCTGATTCCAGAGAGAAGGGTCTGCGGTCAGCAGTCCAGCCTTAACAGCAGGGATGAGGAGCCTCCGGCCCTCTCGGCTCTCCCCTTGAGAGCTCTCCCTCCCTCTCCCTCTGCAGAAATCCAGCTCAAACTGGCTTGAGCAGCAGAGGGAATTCCCTGGCTCCTGTAACTGGGATGGCTGAGGGTGGGTCTTGCTCCAGGTATGGCTGGATCCAGGAGCCCAGAGTCCTCAGGCTCACATGCTCATCCTCTAACCTCACCCAGGCCTCTTGGCTCTGCATCTGTTCTCACACTGGCCTCATCCTCTCCCTCACCTGGTGGGAAAGGTGGCTGCTAGCAGCTCCTAGCCCACAACCACAGGGCTCACAATCTCGAAGGCTGGGAGACACTCTTTCTATCTCAAATCCCACTGAAGGCTCTGATTGATCCTGCAGAAGTCGTGTGCTCACTCCTGTAGATGTGCTGGCCAAGGGGCTGGGGGCCCTGTGATTGACATTCCCTCCAGAAGGATGGGGGAGGGACAGTTGCCCAAGGATAAGAGGAGCTGGGCTGCAAAAGCAGCAGATTGGTTCCCCTGCCCCCTCTGCGAGGGGTCTCTGGGGCCCACGATGGAGCATCATCAATCAATAATAAGCCATTCTTACCTTTGGGCGATGAAGGGGAGGAAGACTATCCTCTACCCACTCTGGGTCCTTTCTGGCTGGGGTATGAATTAAATTGACATGAGACCGAATAGCAGGAGAAGATAAAACAAAGCTTTATAACAGGTACACATGGGAGAAACCAGGGAAACTGAGTTTCTCAACAAACCGTGAGGTTTTCACCCTAAGTAGCATATTCAGGTAGACAAAGGAGGATGTTGGGGGTGGGGGAGTCAGCTATGGGGGATTACCAGAAAAGCACAGTAAACAAGAGTAAGGTTATTATGCAGATTTAAGTCCTCACCTTCTGCATTGATAAGGATTTCTAGAGGTAAGGTCACCCCCGTTCTTCCAGGTACAGAGAGGGAGATACCTTTACAAATGGAGATTTCCCTTACGGATGTAAATGTCTCTTACAAAGGATAACTTGTACTTTTACTTGGTTTTCAGAGCTTTGATAAGAATGGGCTTAGCAAGGACCCTCCCAGTCTATCCATACCCAAAGTTATCTATGGTGATGGCCTGCCCTGGGGACAGGCCTTCTATCTTAAATTCTTTTAGGCAGTTAGTGGGGTGGGGGGGAGTCAAAGTCTCTTTCAGAGAAAATAATCAGGGTAAAGAGACATATTTTGAGGTGGCCAATTCTGATCTCCCATGGGGGCCTGGAATTACAGATCCAAGGAAGGGCTGCTGAGCCCTTGGCTCCTGAATTCCCCTGGACCCAGGGCTGGAAGTTCCTTGGCTTGGCTTGGCTTGGCTTCTGTCTCTGTCTTGTTCCTTTGTCTGCTAAGGCCAGGACAGAAACAGCCACTAGCAATAGGACCCTGTCCAGGCACTGGGTTTAGGAACCTGGGCTTCAAACCTCGGCCTTCTTTTCACTAGCTGTGTGACCTCCAGCAGGTGACCACCTCTGTGCCTCAGTTTCCTCATCTGTGAAATGGGGATAGCAGTGCCTACCTCATTTGCTGGGCTGTAGAGGGACGAAGCGAGAGGGGCCGTGGAGTCCGCAGCCTGGCACCCCGCACGCAGAAAGCTCTCGATCAAAGTCCGTGGTTATTCTGATTATTTAACGCTTCTCATCCAAGACTCCAGACTCCCCGGGGACGCCCGTCACTGTGTTTCACGGGATGGAAGGCTCAGGCCCCGTGCACCGGGAGCAGAGCGGGTGTCGGGATGTTATTTCCCTCTGACTTTACCTTTTGGAAACTGCTTGTGTTTGGGGCAAATCCACTAACCTGGAAGAGTGTCGTTGGGAGGGGCATTTCCCTCCACCAGCTGGAGCATGTTCTCTCCACGGGTTGAAATAAGCAGAGTTTGAGACTTTTTTCCACCCTGCCCTCTCTGGAAATTCTCCCTCCTGTCAAATGAATTGTTTAATGAGAACAGTAGAATTCTTTCCTGCACAGTCTGTCTCAGCCAGTAAAATACGCCATTTCTTGTTGGCCTGATCATTTGCTCCAACCAGACCAGAGGCATTAAAGGTTTTAGATTTGGATGTACCTCAAATGGTCTACTTCCTAAAACCCTGGAGGTTTCCTGGGCTGGTTTAAGAATTAGTCAGCTGTTGTTTACAAGACTCAGGAGAGTGGGGCCAGCCTGGTGGCGTAGTGGTTAAGTTCACACACACTACTCTGGTGGCCCCGAGTTAGCACATTTGGATCCCAGGCGTGGACCTACACCTCTCGTCAAGCCATGCTGTGGCGGTGACCCACATACAAAATAGAGGAGGATGGGCACAGATGTTAGCTCAGGGCCAATCTTCCTCAAGCAAAAAAAAAAAAGACTCAGGAGCCTTCTCACTGGGGGTGCTGTCACCTTCTAGGAGTTGAAGATTGGTTCTTGGGGAAGAGGGGGTGCAAGAAAAATCACATTTCTTATATATAAAGCATAGATATGCTGTATTGGTTTCCTAGGGCTGCCATAACAATGACCACAAACTTGGTGGCTTAAAACAACAGAAATCGGGGCCGGCCCCGTGGCTTAGCAGTTAAGTGCGCGCACTTTGCTACTGGCGGCCCAGGTTCGGATCCCAGGTGCACACCAACACACTGCTTCTCCGGCCATGCTGAGGCCACGTCCCACATACAGCAACTAGAACGATGTGCAGCTATGACATACAACTATCTACTGGGGCTTTGGTGGGGGAAAAAAAGGAGGAGGATTGGCACTAGATGTTAGCTCGAGCCCGTCTTCCTCAGCAGAAACAGGAGGATTGACATGGATGTTAGCTCAGGGCTGATCTTCCTCACAAAACAAAAACAAAACACAACAGAAATCGATTCTCTCCAGTTCTGGAGGCCAGGAATCAGAGATCAAGGTGTCAGCAGGGCCGGGCTCCCTCCTGAGGCTCTAGGGGAGGATCCTTCCTGCCTCTTGGAGCTTCTGGTAGCTCCAGGCGTTCCTTGGCTTGTGGCCACCTCACTCCAGTCTCTGCCTCTACTCTCACACGGCCTTTCTCCCGGTGTGTCTCCTCCTGTTACAGAGACATCAGTTATTGGATCTAGGGCCCACTCTAAATCCCCCCCCCCCCCCCCCGCGTGGAGCAGAGCTACATCCTCAGCCCTGACCAGCCCCGACTGGCCCCCAGCCGGCCCATCAGCTGACTGCAGACACATGAGAGAGCTGGGCTGAAACCACTGATCCTAGCCCAGATCGACAGAACCACCCAGTTGACCTTAGAATCACGAGAAATAATTATTTTTCAAGAGAAGCAACAACTGGTGGTTTTTTTTTTTTTTGTGTGAGGAAGATTGGCCCTGAGCTAACATCTGCCAATCCTCCTCTTTTTGCTGAGGAAGACTGGCCCTGGGCTAACATCCGTGCCCATCTTCCTCCACTTTATATGGGACGCTGCCACAGCATGGCTCGACAAGCAGTGCGTCAGTGCGTGCCCGGGATCTGAACCCGTGAACCCCGGGCCGCTGCAGTGGAGTGCACGTGCACTTAACCACTTGCACCACGGGGCCGGCCCCTGGTGGTTGTTTTAAGCCACCAAGTCTTGGACTGGTTTGTTACACAGCATTAGATAACTAACTACTAGCTCTACCATGTCTCAGTCTGCTCGGGCTCCTGTGACAAATAGCACAGACTGGGCGGCTTATGAACAACACACATTTATTTGTCACGGTTCTGGAGGCTGGAAGTCCAAGACCAAGGCACCGGCAGATGCAATTCTCGGTGAGGGCCTGCTTCTTGGCTTGTAGTTGGCTGCCATCTGTGTGCTCACATGACCTCTGCGTGCACATGTGTGGAGAGGGTGCTCTCCTGTTCCTCCTTACAGGCACGCTAACCGCATCACGAGGGCACCACCCTCATGACCTCATCTAACCCTAATTAAACCAAAGCCCCCCTGGGGCCGGCCAGCCAAGTGGCGTAGCAGTTAAGTGCTCCTGCTCCGCTGTGGCAGCCCCGGGGTTCGAAGGTTCAGATCCCAGCCACACACCAACGCACTGCTTGTCAAGCCATGCTGTGGTGGCGTCCCATATAAAATAGAGGAAGATGGGCATGGATGTTAGCCCAGGGCCAGTCTTCCTTGGCAAAAAAGAGGATTGGCATCAGATGTTAGCTCAGGGCTGATCTTCCTCACGAAAAAAAAAAAAAAAAAAAACCAAAGGCCCCATCTCCTTATATCATGGCACTTGGGGTTAGGGTTTCAACACATGAATTTGGGGGGGACACATTCAGGCCACGATGTGCATGAGGACCTGCTGAGGCATCTCCCCCATATCCCCTCCTCAAAAGGCTGCCAAGTACACAGTGTGACACATGTTCACAGGGGAGGAGGGCTGCCAGGCACTTCCTGAAGACCCCTCACAGCCAGTTACAAACTCTGACATTCACAAGGCCGGCAGGCCACAGGCCAGGGAAGCCGGCTGCTGGGGCTGTGATGAGCGAGGGCAGGCTGGACGGGACTGTCCGTTCTTGGCTCTGGCCAGTCATCGTGAGGGCATCAGCTGGGGCTGCTGGCTCGCTCTCTCTTAAAGAGAGACTAAAAATCTGGAGTGTTAATCTCTTGACTTTTAAACGCTGGTAAGTAATTTAAATTAAATTACGGGGTGAACTAATAAATCTTTTCCATTCAAAGCGTGGTCTGGCCACCAGCAGCCTCGGCATCACCTGGGGGCTGGCTAGGCTTGCAGACTCTCACTACCCCAGGCCAGAAGCTGCATTTTAACAAGATCTCCCGCTGATTCTTAAGGAGTGAGAAGCCTTGGATTACACAAAACACATCGGGGAGCTGGTGTGCTGTGGGCTGTCTGTCATGACCCTGACGCAGGTCAACCAGCCCACCTGTTAAGACCTGGAAGCTGCCTGAAGTCCACGATTCCAAATTCAGAGGCTCCCCCGGGGCTCCTTTTATTATATCAATTTATTCAAGTAGTAGAAAAACCCTCTCGCGGCAGGATGACAAAATAGAAACCTGTAAACATGATTTCATCCCCCATCCCTTCTAAGGAGCTTCCGGTGAAAGAAAACAATTCTAGTCGGCAAATTCAGGGATGAGGTCTGTAGAAAAGGATCCTGTGACGTGGCCATCGTCTCTTTAATCCACTCCTGTCCACAGGGGCTGGCTGGCCCCCGCCACTTGGTCACTATGAGGCCAGGGTGAGTTCCATTCTCTGGTGGCCCCCGCCCCAGGAGGCCGGAGGCTCTTTGGCAGCGGGGCAGGCCCTGGGGGACAGGCCTCGTGAGCAGCAGACACAGGCAGGCGGGGAGAGGGCACAGTCTCTCTCCAGGGAGCACTGTATTGCTAGGCTTACATGTGCTACCGGCCAGGTGAGGGCCGAGGGCCAGGAGAGCGGCTGAGGCAGGAAGCACCAGAAGCTTGGCTTGGCACCGGGGCCGAGACCACCAGGATGGTCAGTGGCCTTGGAACTTCCCCTGCATAAGCGGGACCGAGTTGAAACGAGCCTCCAGGACAGGCCGTGCCGGGCAGCTGGAGGCTTCAGTCCTTGAAGGGGTTTTGGGCGTCGCCCGGCTGCTCCTTCTCCGAGGCCAGGAGCTCCCCGTTCATCTCCTGTAGCGAGTGGTAGACGTAAGCCCCGTCCAGGTGCCGGCTCCGCCTCGCTCTGGAGCCCAGGAGCAAGGACACGTTGGCCACCATGCTGATCAGCAGAAGAAAGACCAGGGCCAGGGTGAGGGCCAGCCAGGTGGTCCTGGGGGCAGAAGAGAGACCCCAAACGGGGTTGTTGGGTCAACTCGGGGCTGGGGAGAGCTGGAGGGGTTCTCTCCCTCTCCTCATTTCCCTCCTCCACCCAGAACAGGGGCAGAGTCGGGGGCCTCCAGGGACCACACAGGGACTGTCGAGGAGCAAAATGGGCCTGGTGGGGCCGGGGGCACACTACAGACACACATTCGGGAAGCAGCGGGGACGGTCGCTACGTGGGGCGTGGGCCAGTGCTACCACCTCTCCTGATGTTTCAAGAGAAACCGTGAAAAAGAACTTTATGTAAATATCACCGATTTTCAGATATTATTAATAAATCTTAAAACATTTTAAACGGTGCAGGCCAAATGACATACAGGTGGTGACCGAATGAGGCCCAGGAGGCGTCAGTTTGCACCCCGTGCTCCAGGGCATGCTGGGCAGAGGCTGGGCTCTGCTCCAGGTCCTCAGAGAGACAGGGAGAACGGGCACCCCTCCCTTCAAGGCCAGGAGCTGGCGGCTCTTGCGCTGATCTGTTTTTCCGATGGAGCCCTCAGTGCAGAAGCGGACACAAGCAGACTGCTGCAGGGCGGGGCCCACAGCCATGCCCCTCAGCCCCCCGCCCCCTCCCTCACTGGCAGCTGCCAATGGGTCCAGATCTGCACGGGGGCGCTCAAAGTCTCACATCTGAGGAGCCTGAACTTCAGGCCGGGGCGTGGGGGTCCCAGGAGCCAGTGTCCCTGCTCTGGGGTATGCTCAAAGCACACCTCCAGGAGTTCTCTCCTGGCCTCACCAGACTCGCCGCACCAGGACCTCCAGGCTGGACCTGGGATCTTCGTCACTGCCCCCAGGACAATGGGGGACAAGGCCGGGAGCTCTTCCTTCACACCCACACCTGGTTCCCACCTCCAGAGGGGGCGGGGCTGGGCCAGGTGGGGCTATGGGAGGTGAGAACCACCAGAGAGGTTCTCAAAGCAGGGTCCCCAGCCCAGCAGTGTCCGCATCCCCTGGGATCATGCTGGAAATGCAGATTCTCGGGCTCTACCCTAGACCTATGAGGCAGAGACTCCGGGGGTGGGGCCCAGCACTCTCTCTCAACACACCCTCCCGGAGGTCAGGTCTGAGACCTGCCGAACTAGAAAAGAGAGGTGAAGCCCCACCACGGGGCCTGAGTGCCTGAGAAGTGACGCGAGCTCCTGAGGGCTCAGCGCTTCCACACGGGGACCTGAGAAGTCATCTCAGGTCAGGGGAAAATAAGCCACACCCTGCCCACTCGACTCCGCCTGGGGTGGTGACCAGGGTCCTCTCAAGGTCTCCCTGGACGGCTCAGGTGGCTGCGAACATTAGTGTGACTCCCTGTGCTTATGTTGCAAAAATGTCACCCGGGTGCCCAGCTGCCACCTCATAGCCTTGCCTAGTGTCTGAGCAGAGGCCACGCCCTCCACCCCTGCCCCAGCTCCCACCGGGCACCTACCCGGTGAGAAGGGAGAGTTCTCCTGTCCGCACGGTGGCCTCAGATGGCTGCAGACACAGCTTCACTGGAAGATACGAGGGAGAGGCTGAGGGGCTGGGAGGGGAGGGGGCTGCCCCACCGGGGCCTGGGAGGGGCTGTACCTTGGGAGAGGATGCTGTTCAGGGCAGTTGCCCGGGTGAGGCTGCAGTTGCCGGTCTGGGGATCGCAGGGACACTGGTGTTCACACTCACAAGGCCTCTGGCAGCCGGGCCCGTGCCAGCCGAGGGAACACTCTACAAAAGGAGACAGGAGGACAGAGGTGGGGGCCTCGGAGGGGGGCCTCTCTGCTCTGACAGGAAGGGCCCCAGGTGTGTGCAGAGCCCTGCTGAAGGAGAAGTGCCCCCTGGCTCCGCCAGGCCAGACCCTGGAGGGAGATGCCCCTGGGTGGCGCTCCCTCCTAGCTGACTCGGGGGCTCACCCGGCTCACCTTGCACACAGGTGTCTCCAGTGAAGCCGGGGGGACAGGTGCACGTCCCCCGAACCGGGTCACAGGTGGCTCCGTTCTGACACAGGCACTTCTCAGCACAGTCCTCCCCGAAGGAGCCGTTGGGGCAAGCTGGGCCGGGAGAAGGGGGGTCTTTGCAAAATCCGGCCCTGCCCCCCAACCCCCTCCCCGGCTGGGGCCAACAGGATTGCAAACGGATCACGGGGCTTCCGGTCTGGGAGGCCAGGCAGCCAGCGAGCCAGACAGCAAGTGTCACAGCACCAGTGAGGACAGGTGCCGGAAGGACGTGACCTCGAGCGGCAGCAGGAAACCGCTGAGGGGGTGGGGCAGGGAGGTCTGAGGAGGTGACGTTTAAGCTGAGCCTGGCAGAGGGGGAGCAGAGCGGCCGGGCGGGCGGGGAGGGGCCCGGCAGCTCATGCTGCTGAGCTCGGGCTTTTCACTAAGTGCGAAAGAAAACCACCCAAGGGTTTTAGCTGGGGGTGGCCGCAGTGGGGTGAGTTGCGTCTCCCAGGAGACATGTCCTAATCATCCCCGGAACCTGTGAACATGAGCCAATTTGGAAACAGGGTCTTTGCAGATGCAATTAAGTTAAGGATCTGGAGATGAGAACATCCTGGATTTAAGGTGGACCCTAAATCCAGTGACCTGGGGTCCTCGTAAGAGAACAGAGGGAGACTGGACACACAGGGAGAAGGCAGTGTGAGGATGGACGCAGAGACTGGCGTGATGCAGCCCCAAGCCAAGGATTGCCGGCAGCCCCCAGGAGCGGGAAGAGGTCGGAAGGAGCCTCTTCCAGACCTTTCAGAGGGAGTGCGGCCCTGCCGACACCTTGATTCTGGAGTTCTGGCTTCCAGAACCTGAGAGAAGAAATCTGTCATTTTCAGCCCCCGTATTTAGCAGCCCCAGGACACGAATGCAGTGATTTACATGTGAGGCGAGAGCGAGAGACACGAGGCCAGCGCCCTGCAGATCAGACAGCGGGGGTGAAGGCAGCGGGGGCTCGAGCTGCCCGCCCACCCTCTCCCCACGTGCCGGGGCCAGGAGGGGGCTGGCCGGGTGGCTCTCACCTTCACTGCAGTTGGACCCTGTCCATCCAGCTTCGCAGCGGCAGCCGGCTGCCAAGACAAGACCGAGAAGGCCAGGTGAGGGCCTGGGCAGGGCCGGGCGGTGAGAGCTGGGAACCCGGTAGTGCTGCCCCCTCCAGGGTCCCCACTCACTCTCTGTGCAAAGCCCATGCCAGCTGCAGTTGGAGGGGCCGCAGTCCAGGTGGTCGCAGGCAGCACCCTGCCAAAAGTGTCCCGTGCACTGGCAGTGCCCCTCCACACAGGTCCCGTGGCCGCTGCAGTCAGGCGGTTGGCAGCGGGGCTCGTGCACACACACCACAGTGGACACATGGCGGGGACAGCGCCACATGTTGTCCTGGCTGCAGGGGGACATGGTGTGTGAAGAGAGGCCTCGATGCTGGCCATCCCCAGCTGACCCCTCAACTCCCTTACTGCAGCCTGTGAACACTGCCTCTCTCTCCATTATCCCTTCTCCAACCTTTTATAGGTTCTTCCCACCCCCACAATCCCTCCCACCCCAGGGCCTTTGCACATGTGGTTCTCTCTGCCCATAGCCTCTCCCATCCCCACTGAGCCACCTCCTTGTCCTTGAGATCTCAGCTCATGCTTCATTATCACCAGAGAGGTCTTTCCCGAGCACTCAACCCCTGTCATCAGCTTGGGTCGTCCCGGCACACTATGTGTACTTCCTAAAGCAGTGAGGCCCGGATCTCCTTTCTTCTTGCTCGCTGCTGAATCCCCAGGGCCCGGCACACAGTAGGTACTCAATATTTGTTGAATGAGACAGGTGGGGCAGGCCTGGCCTTCAACCAGGGGCCTCTGGCGTGCTTACCAGTGATCTGACGGGTAACTGGCCAAGGTCCCGTTGAGCACGAAGGTGGCAGAGCCCCCTCCGTCCAGGTTGATGGCGTTGACCACGTCCTGTTTCAGCAGGAATTCCGCCATCTCCCACAGGTTGATGCTGCGGCACAAGAGCAGCACGGCTGACCGCGCCCACCGCCACGCCTGGGTTAACTCGTCCTACTTCCCATGGCGGGCAGCATCACACCCACACTTCTAAATGGCCCCCAAAGGTGTCCCATCCCAATCCCAGAAGCTGGGAATATAATGAGATGACTCCCATGATTATGTTACATGGCACAGCTGTCACAAATGAGGACACTGTCCTGGAACAGCCGGGTGGGCCGACAGAATCACAGGAGCCCTTGAAAGCAAAGAACTTTCAGGGCCGGCCCAGTGGTGTAGTGGTTAAGTTCGCATTCTTTACTTCAGTGGCCCAGGGTTCATGAGTTCAGATCTCGGGCATGGACCTACACACCGCTTATCAAGCCACGCTGTGGCAGCGTCCCACATATAAAGCAGAGGAAGATAGGCATGGATGTTAGCCCAGGGCCAATCTTCCTCAGCAAAAAGAGGAGGATTGGCAACAGATGTTAGCTCAGGGCTAATCTTCCTCACCAAAAAAAAAGCAAAGAACTTTCTCTGGCTGGTGGCAGAAAAGGAAGTTGGAAAGACTGGATATATTGGGGCCGGCCCCATGGCATAGTGGTTAAGTGCGCACGCTCCACTGCTGGCGGCCTGGGTTCGGATCCCAGGCACGCAGCGAGGCACCACTTGTCAGGCCATGATGTGGCGGCGTCCCGTATAAAGTGGAGGCAGATGGGCACGGGTGTTAGCCCAGGGCCAGTCTTCCTCAGCAAAAAGAGGAGGATTGGCATGGATGTTAGCTCAGGGCTGATCTTCCTCACAAAAAAAAGAAAGACTGGATATACAAGGGAATTCAACCACCTCTGCCAGCGTGAAGACGTGGAGGGGACACACAGGAGGAATGAGGGCTGCCTTAGGAGGGACACACTGACCTCAGTCCTACAACCACGAGGACCTGGATTCTGCCCGTGATCCGGATGAGCTGGGAAAAGGACCCTGTCCCAGAAGCTCCAGACAAGCGCCCTGCCTGGCCAGCAGCTTGGTTCTGTCAGGGGACACCCTGAACACAGAACCCAGCTGAGCACCCTGGACTTCTCACCTGCAGACTGTGATCTCACAAATGGGCGCTGCTTGTGCTAATTTGTTATGCAGCAACAGCAAACTAACACACACTGTTTACACAGGAGGAAACAGTGGCTCAGAGAGGTTGAGTGACTCGTCCACAGCCACAGAGCTAGCAGATCGCTGAACTGGGGTTGGAACCGAGGTCTTCTCCCTGCTCACTTGGTGATAATTTCTTTTCACCCCAACCAGGGCTCAGGAGAGATACGGCCTACGTCAGGGAGACTGAGGGCAAGTATGTGGCGGAAGATGAGTTCTTGGAAGTGGGACAGACCTAGGGCCCGTCTTCGTGTGGGAAGGTGGGGACAGACGGGGAGGCACACTCCCAAGGAGCAGCTGGGGGTCAGAAGGGTGGCCGTGGGTGGGCTGAAGTCCCTGAAAGCCGACGGGCCCGGGCCTGGGGGCCCCGGGCCCAGCACTCACCCCCGCTGCTCCGTCTGCCCGTCCACCTGGAGGAGCACCAGCCGTCCCTTGCGGTCGTGGCCCACGGCCGTTCTGGCCGACATCACGGTCACAAACTTGCTAAAGGAACCTGGGGAGAAGCAGCGGGCTGACCGCCTGGCCCTTTGGGAGGCCTCTGGGGCTTTGCCTGCCACTTCCTGCCGGTCCACCACCACCTCCTGGGCCAAGCCATCCGGCGCCTCCCTGCCTCCCCACTGACCACCCCCCACACCGTCCAGTCCCAGTCAGTCTCCACCTGGTAGCCAGAGGGCTCTTCGTAAATGTCAGTCAAGTGACACCAGCCTCCAGGTAAATAAAACCCTCTCATGCCTTCCACTGTTCTTAGAACAAAATCCCAGTGCCTTAGTGCAGAGGGCAGGGACTTTACTCGTCTTAACCCCCACTGATCCTGGGTGCCTAGAATAGCACTTGTTGAAAGACTTAGAATAGCTTCCCCCACCCCCACCTGTCTCCTGCGTCTCGTCACACTCAGCCGCCTGGCTCTCATTGATATAGATGCTTCCATTTCGAATCAGCCACACGACCCCGCTCAGCAGCTGCACGAACGGATTCTCAGTGTCCAGCAACTCCTCTTCAGACAGGTACCTGGTCACAGGGAAGGGGTGAGGTTCACTTACCAGCAGGGGCAGCTGCGGGGGGTGGGGCTCCCTCCCGCACCCCAAGCCTGGCTACTTGACTCCTCCCCGCGCCCCAGGAACCTGTCTGCTCCTGGTCCTGAGCGCAGCCTTTGTAGGCAGTCCAGCATCCCAGTCTACACGTGGTTTAAGAGAAACCACCAACCCCAACAAGCTCAAGTGCATCAATGGCCCTCAATCTCCTAGGCCGTCACCCTCGCCAAACTGCCACCTGATGCCTGTACCAGCCTCTTCATTGGCCTCCTTGCTTCTGCTCTGGCCCCTTCAGCCTAGTCTCCAGCCAGGGTTAGAGCAAGCTTTTAAATAATTCAAGTCAGCCCTGTCATCCTCTAACCCCCTGCGCCTTCCTTCAGGCCCTCACACACACTAAGCCGGATGCACCTCTGACCCTCAGCGCTTGCTGTCCCTTCTGACCGCAATGCTCCTTCTCCAGTTCTGACCTTGACTGACCTGAGATGAATCTTCAGGTCTCAACTCAAGGATCACCTTCTCAAACAGCCTTTCCTATCACCCTCCCTAAAAGCAACATGCTATTTATAACCGGTTCAGCCTGTTCATTGCTTCGCTGCACACACACAATTTGAATTCATCTTAACTACTTCCTTGGCTTTTGTTTATCTTTCCTAGCAGGGAGGGAGAGTCCGTGAAGGCAAAGGCTGTGCGTGCTCGTTCACCGCTGTCTCCCCAGCGCTCAGCACACAGCCTCACCCAAAAGCTTACTGATACTGGGTGATGAATAAACTCCGCAAGGAAGGTATTCCTATCCCCATTCTGCAGATGCGGAAACGGAAGCTTAGCTTGGTTGGGTGACTTGAACACAGAGGCACGGCTACAACCCAAATCTCGGGCCCTCTGCCCTCGACAGTCACGTGGCTCCCTGCCTTCTCACCCGGTGACCAGGGTCCCGTCGCGGCGGATCCCGAACTGCGCGTTCTGCAGCCCCCCGGCGTTGCTCACCAGCCGCCCATCGCTCACCACGTTCCCCAGGCACTCGCCCGTGTCCACGCGGAAGAAGCCGCCGTTCTGCGCGACGCCGCAGCCGGCCGCCCGCGCCGTGTCCTCCACGGTGGCGCGGCGCCTGGACGCGCAGCCGCCGGGCCCGCCGGGCTCCAGCACGGAGAAGGTGCGCAGGGGCTCGGCGGCCCGCGTCAGGTGGCCGGCCACCGCGCGGTCTCCGAAGTGCGAAACGAAGGTGCGCACGGCCGGACCGCGGGTGCCGGGAGTCGCGCGGGCGGGCGGCCAGCTCTCGTGCTCGCGGCTGCCGGCGCGCACCCTGGTGCAGTCCCGGGCGGGGCGCGCGCGCGCGCGGGGGTAGGGCAGCAGCAAGTCATCGTCGCGGGAGGCCCTGCGGGGACGGGGCTGCCGTGAGCTCGGGGGGTTGTGCTCCGCGCGGGGGGACCCCCGAATCAGGCTCACCCCCCGGGAGCTGTACTCACCCCGAGCCGAGGCCGCCGGACGCCTCCCCGAGGAAGCCGAGCAGCGCAGAGAGGATGAGAAGCCGGCGGCCCATGGAGGCCGCCATGCTGGACTCGGGCCTCCGGTCACGTGGGCTCTCCCCACGTGACTCAAGACCTGTAGTGGCCGCTTTTGGCTCTGACTGAATTGTTTGCGCTGCTTCAGATATCGCGAGATCTCGTCCTGTAAATTATTGTGGAGTTTTTGGAGGGAGCCGGGCCTTGGGAACTTTCCATGTTGATGTAATTTCAAACTTGGAAGGTTGCAAGGGTAATATAAAGAACTCTCCTCTACCTCTTACTTACCTTTACCAGTTGTTAACGTTTGCCGCATTTGCTTTATCGGTGGTGCTTTATTCATACACTGTACACTTTTTTTGGAACCGTTTGCTACCAAGTTGCAGACATCATGATCCTTCCCCTCAGTACTTCATTATGTGTCTTCTACGTACCAGGACATTTTCTTATGTAACCACAGGCCAAGTAGAATTAGGACATCTCACATCGCTAGAGTTCCATTAACTAATCCACGGTTCACATTCAAATTTTGCCAATTGTCTCTATAATGTCCTTTATAGCTATTCCCTCTCCCCACCCCACCCCCCACCCCCAGGATCCAATCCAGGAGTTGTATTCAGTGATCGTGTCTCTTTGGCCTGCCTGAGTCTGGAACAGTTCCTCAGCCTTGGTTGTTTATGACCATGACATTTTTGAAGAGGACAGACAGGTCGGCTACATAATTTGTGGGACCTAGTGTAAAATGAGAACCTGGGGATTGTCAACCTCCAAGAACAGAAACCAATTTAAGAGGCAGAGTGTTTATTTGGGATCAAAGAATTGCAATTTGGGGAGCACAAATTTAGGTAGAAACCCAAACAGTGTCCCGATTACAGAAGAGGGGCTCGGGCTTTTTATGGGAAAAAGGGAGATAGAGCTGGACCTGTGGCGTAGTGGTTAAGTGCGCACTCGGCTGCTGGTGGCCCGGGTTCAGATCCCAGGCGTGCACTGACGCACCACTTGTTAGGTCATGCTGTGGCGGGGTCCCACATAAACTGGAGGAAGATTGGCATGGATGTTAGCTGAGGGCCAGTCTCCCTCAGCAAAAAGAGGAGGATTGGCAGGGATGTTAGCTCAGGGCTGATCTTCCTCACAAAAAAAAAAACAAAAAAGGAAAAATGGAGGAGGAGGTGAGTCGTATTAAGGAAGAGTTCACTGGTGCTAGATGAGGTCAGGCTAGGTTTGTACTTCATAGATTGGCCTGAGGTTCGGTCATCAGGCAAGAGGCTAGACTTGTGCTTCATTGACTGGTTAGCGATCCAGTCATCAGAAACGTCCAGATCCATCAGTTCTTACAGACAGGAGATTCTTGTCCTTACTGACTTCTTGGAAGGCTGGGGGTTTGCTCCAGTTTGGAAGATAAAGAAAACAAGACGTGCAAGGCGATTCCTCTGAAATGGCTGCTCCGGCTCTATTTTACTATGGCTCCACTCCTGTCATCTTGCACAGGATTTTTGTATAAAAGTCAAGAATTTCCAGATGGTGAGAGCAGAGTGTGACAGCAAGCGTGGGACCCTTCATGGGCGGGCCCCGTGCACCTGCACAGGTCGGAAGCCATGAAGCTGGCCGGTTATTTTTCAGCATGTGCTTCAGGCTTGCTTTGAGAGGATACTTCTCTTCAGGCCTCTGGTCCAGGGCAGTGTCCAGGGTTATCCAGCCTTTTGGTGCCAGTGCAATGAATGGGCCACCCAGGAGCCAGCACAAGTCTAGCTGGCTTTTGGTGCCACGGGTACTTGGGACCAGGCCAGCCCCTTTCTCTCCACGGTCGGCACCATTAGTGCTTGAACTCAGGCCCCTCTTTGAGCCACTGCCCCTTAGAGCCAGTCAGGGTCAGTGTACTGGGTTGGATAATGTCTCCCCAAATTCATGTCCTTCCTAGAACCTCGGAATGTGACCTTCTTTGGAAGTAGGATGTTTGCAGATGTGATTAGTTGAGACGAGGTCATATTGGAGTGGGGTGGGCCCTAAGTCTAGTTTGACTGCTGTCATTATAAGAAGAGAAGAGACACAGAGGGAGACACACACAGAAGGAGGAAGGCCATGCGAGGACAGAGGCAGAGACTGGAGAGATGCAGCTACAGGCCAAGAAAGGGCCAAAGATTGCTGGCAACCACCAGAAGCCAGGAGAGAGGCTGGAACAGGTTCTTCCCTGGAGCCTTCGGAGAGAGAGAGCCTGGCTGACACCTTAACTTGGCAGAACTAATAGAGTCAGGAACCCCAAATGGGCCCCCAGAGTGGCTCTGAGGCCTGTGGGGCACCCATAGTTAGTTCCCTTCAGTTAACCACATTCAAAATGACTGATCCTCTCGGGGCTTAAATGACTTGGCCTGACACAAATATACTGATGTGGAGGGATTATGTCTTCCTGATCTTTACATCCAGGCTGCTGAAAATCATCAGCAAATGAGCCGAGGCCTGCACCAACTTCCCTGCCCCGGAAGTCCTCTTTTCTCCAAATCAACTAAGAATTGCGGGCGCAGGCAGTGTCTGGCGAGTTCTGACCTGGCCAGTCTCCTACCTCCTCTGATGTTTGTCACTCCTTTCCCAAGTTGTTCTAAGCACAGAAGTGCCACGGAAATTCTCCATGTGAACTGAGCAACCTGTTATGTTAAACCAGGAGGCCATTAGGCTGGCGTGGCTCTAATGCCACGGTGGCCTACATAAGCAAACCAAACCGCCTGCAAATGCCTCAGGGTCATGAAGTCAAAATGCTAAGGACAACCAGTCACAAACAGTGAACTAGGCAAACCAGCTAACTCAGCTTTCTCCTTTGCTCACACCTACTCTTCATTCTAGAATACCTTGGTCCCCTCTGAGCAACCTCATCCGGATTCTATAATCATTTGTGGATACCATAGTGTTGACGTAAATCTATAATCAATCTATAAATCAAAATTGGGGTGAGTTTATTATGAGCCAACTTTTGAGGACCATGGCCCAGGGCCTTCCCTCCCTAAGGAAGGAAGGGCACCAAAGAAGTGGGGTGTACAGAGCGGTTATATACCGTCAAAGAGCATGTATCACGTATGATTGCAATGTCCCTTTTACAATAGCCACAAGATCGCCCTGCCAGATTGCCCTGCCAGAACAGCTATTGATGGACACAGTGGGGAGAAGGTCTGCTGTCTCAATGGGCGTGGCTGGTGACAGGTCTGTGGTTTTGAGCTGGGTGGTCACAGGGTGAGTGCAGCAGTCAAATCCTAGCCTAGGGAGAAATGCTTATCCTTAAGGAAATGCCAATGTGGGGGAAGTTGCATCTTTATCTTAAGGGCATTTACTCTTCTCTTTGGGACATGGCAAAACAGATACACAATGCAGGTGACAGGCCCTTTTGGAAAAACAGACTCAGGCTGAATTAGTTTTACCCCAAATGGCTTCCTTATATGTTCCAATATATCCTATTGCTTGCCATTTATTTATCAATAGATTGAGCACCTCCCATGTGTGAGATGCTGATGAAACAGACAGAGTGGCCTTACGCTGGCGGAGCTGAGATTTTAATGGGGAGACAGGCTGTAAACGATGCAAGCGTGGTGAGAGCCTGGAAGAAGCAGGACGGAGAAAGAATGATGTCACAGGGGTGGCAGAGAAGGCTCTGTCAGCCCAGACATAAAGGATGGGAGAGAAGGGGACAGCTGTGGGGAGGTGGGGGCCAGAGCCTTGCAGCAGAGGGCGCTGCAGAGCCAGGAGGTGGGACAGAGCTTGGTGGGAGGAGGAGGATTAGCCAGCGAGGAGGGCAGAGTGTGGGGAGGGTGGAGGTGGGAGGGCCAGGCCAACGCTGGGTCCTGCAGGGCTCCAGGAAATGAGTTTGAAGCCAGGTACCTGAGGGGTGCTGTAGATATTAAACCAATTTGCTGTTTTTCCTGTTTAACTTGAAGGGTGACTTAGGGGTCTCGAAGAGTTGTGAGCTTGTTTTGCAGAGGATTTGTCAGCTTGTTTTGCAGAGGAAAGAGAATGCCTTTGGGGAGGTTGTGATCACTGGATGGCCGGCCCTCGGCAGCCTTTGAAGCCCAGAAGTCAGATTGCCCAGGGGCTTATCGGGAGGGACTCCTTTGCTTCTCTGAAGCTCCTCCTGCCAAGCCCCTTAGCTCTATAAAACTCCCCTGCCTTCCGTTCTTGGGGACGTGGATTTGAGCAAACCCAGCCTCCCACCTACTCGTTTTGGCCAATTTGAATAGATCTTTCTCCATCTCCAAGCACCAGTGTCTCAGTGTTTGGCTTGCTGCCAACTTGAGATTCAGGCACGAACTTGAGATTAAGAGATTCAGTATCAAGTTTGGATGTTAGCCCGAGTGAAACAGGAAGCCACTGGAAGGTTTTTTTTAAAAACAGTTTTATTGATGTATAATTTACATACCATAAAATTGACCTGTTTTAAGTGTACCCTTCAATGATTTTTAGTAATTGTACAGAGATCTCTCAGCATCACCTTAATCCATTTTTAGGACATTCTCATCACCCCCAAAAGGTCTATCATGTGATTCCGTTTGTATTAAATATCCGGAAAGGCAAACCTGGAGAGACGGGAGATCAGTGGTGGCCGGGGCCGGGGGTGGGGGCAGGGAGTGGTTGCAAACAGCAGGGAGAGCTTAAGCCTGACAGGTTGGGGGTGGGGTTGGTGATCTCCTTCCTGGCCTCTCTGAGAGTTTATACACCCTCTTCAGCTTCGGGGTGGACGTTTCCTGGCGTCGCCTCCTCTGCTGCTGTTGAGCTTTTTCATGCATTTAGCAGGTTCTCTGACTGAGAGCTCTGAGCACCGACAAGGATGGAATAGAGCAGATATCTGTTTCCTCCACTAACCTAGAGCGTGAACAAAGTTAATGCATCGGTATACATCAGTATACATTTATCAATCGAGGGAAAGAATACAAGGCTTAAGGCGTGCACCCCGTCTTTCCAACCATCAGCTCGATCTGCTTGATTATTATTGTTTCCTGATGTCTGTCTCCCCGCCTTACCGTCATCTCTATGAGGGCAGAGGTCACCTCTGCTTCTCACTGCTCTTCCCCAGCGCTCTGCACAGTGCCTGGCACATAGTGGGTGCTTCACCGATGTCTCTTGAATAAGTGGATGGGGTCAGGGTCCTTGTTTGTGTTCTCAGCTGCATCTCCCTAGCCCAGAGCAAAGCTCCGCGCACAGCAGGCTGTCAATCAACATCTATTGAATGAATGGATGGGGTATTTCCCTGGGGATGACGTTGTTGGCTAGTAGATAATACGTGACTGATCAAACCCAGAAGTTGTGTGGATGCTGGGTTTTCTAGAAATTCACGGCTAACAGCCACTGTGCTCATCTAAGCCTCAGGCAGTGTGCGAGGGGCTTAACCTGCACCATTTTGTTGCATCTCCTCATGAATCCTAGAAGGTGGGTGTTATTATGTCATCTAGGATACAGAAGAGGAAATGGAGGCAGGGAGAGGGCAAGCTACCGGCCCACAGTTATAAGTGAGCGTAAGGGAGGCCATCTTATTGCACTAAATATCCCCAGCCCCTCCTCTGTGTGACTACTCGCTTCTCTGCACGTACTTTAAAAAATTCACATGCCCTCCTGATTTATGGCCTCCGCTTATGTATGTACTCCCCAATAACTTGATAAATTAAAAACTTTGTTCTGTGAGTTTCTCTCCAGGAACAGGCTGACCACAAGCGGGAAAGACGCCTACAAGGTATCCATCACAGCTGACAGAAGAATGGAACAATGTGATGCCTGAAGCCTGTCACGCCTGGAGACCAACATCCCTGGACCCCCTCCTTACTGCCCATTTTCCCTATATGACGCTTCAAGATTCTATAATCCTGGAAGAGGGGTCTTTGAGACATTAGTCACCTGTCTTCCGATTTGCTGGCTAATCTAATTAAACTTCGTTTCTTGACTGTTAACTCGTTGTGATTAATTGGCTCAGGCTGCTGTGAGCAGAGTGAGCCCATTGCTCGGTCTCACAGTCACATGGCTGTAAGCGGAGGAGGCTTCTGGTTCTGATGCGGAGCTCCGAGCCCCTGTGCTCTCCTGCCCAGAAGCAACTTCTTTCTCAAGTGGGGACGAGTGTTTGTTTTGGAGTCTGGAAAACCAAAGTTGCTTCTTATAAAACCTTTCTAGGAATTATAAACCAAGATTATTTTCTTCTGTCTGCGTTGTGTTCTGTAGCTATTATATAAAGTGCTTTGAGGGGGTTTACAATATCCTAGAACCTGGCTTTGAGGTTTTTAGGGGCAGGAGATTCTGTTGTACACTCCATGTCGGAGGGGTGACGTTAGGGGCCCCCCCCATCCTGCATGGACTCGGGGGGCTGCCAGCTGGCCAGACCAGACTCAACAGTGCTCACAGCCCAAGGTCTCTTCCACCAGCTAAGACTTGGACACAACATCCCAAAGAGCCTGGTTTTTCTTTTCCTTCTTTTTTCCCCTATTTAACTCCACAAACATTTATTAAACACTTTGATAAATAAATAAAAAGTTATAGGATACATTGGAACATATGAGGTAGCCATTTGGTGTAAAACTAATTCGGCCCAACCTTGTTTTTCCAAAAGGCCTGACGTGGCCCGTTGAGCAGGCATTGTACATCTGCTTTAAACATTTCTATCCTGGAGTCTAATTTTGCCGCCTGTCTGCACGTAGCCTGAAATCAGCACCACAGACAGCACCTGAACCCATAATAAGGCTTCAGAAGGTCTTTTCTCAAACACTAGATTATGTCCGAGGCCCAGCTGACACGTTTAGATACACTCACAATGAGGCAGAGCAGGAGGAAGAGCCACGAGCTGCTCCCTCCGCTGCTGCTTCGGGACAAGCCCCCATGTGAGGTGACATCACCACCGTTGTGGTAGCAGGTAACACTTACCTGGCATTTACTACGTTACAAGTACCGTTCTCAGTACTCTACAAACATAATTCTCACAGCGGTGGAGGCAATACTGAGGGCGGTGCTGTAATCATCCCAATCGTGCTGATGACAAACCGAGTCACAGAGACGCTAAGTAACTTTGCTCAAGGACACTGAGCTCGTTAGGGGGACTGCCGGGATTGAACTCAGGCAGCCAGGGCCCAGAACCACACTGTAACCATTATGCTGCACTGCCCATGTAAAGTGACATGGCTGTGACACGAGGTGACATAATGAGACTGTAGAGTTCCCTGCACATGATGTAAAGATATTTTGTGCTGCCTTTTGTGGTCATATCTCGAGTTCTAGGTCACGACTTGAACTGTTATTTTCAGAGCCCCTTGGTTCTCCCACTGGGAATGATGCAATGGTTGACGTCTGAACACGCTGCCTTTAAGACTCCAGTGAGGGGTTGGCCCGGTGGCGTAGTGGTTAAGTACTCGCACTCTGCTTCGGTGGCCCTGGGTTTGCAGGTTCGGATCCTGGGCACGGACCTACACGCTGCTCATCCAGCCATGCTATGGCGCTGTCGCATATACAAAATAGAGGAAGATGGGCACAGATGGTAGCCTAGGGCTAGTCTTCCTCACACACACACACAAAAAAGACTCAAAATGATGGGTCTCTTTAGAATTTGTGTGGAGTAGGGTTGAAGACTCAGAACAGAGCCCCAGAAGTTGTCCAGAGAAACCAGACTCAACGGCACTTAGATTTATTCATCTGCTCCCACAGTGGATCCATCCCAGCCCCACCTCCCCTGGCCCTGCTCCTGAGGGGATGAAGCTGGTTGCTCTGCTGTCTGCCTCCTCCTCAGGATGTGGTCCTTAAGAAAGGAGGAACGGAAGGTGTGTGTTTCGTCTTCCTGGCGGGTGGCAGGCCTGGCACCATCGTGTCAGTGGCCGTTGGGTGGTGCCGGTGTGTACAGCCGCCGCTCTCCGTTTGCTGGGGGGTATTCTGCCAGGGCGTAGAGGAAGCCGCCCAGGGCCGCCACGGCCATGGCGGTGTTGTGGGAGGAGCAGCCATCTGGGGAGAGAGTCCCTCGTGAGGGCCAGGTGGCAGCCACAGTCCCATCGTGACTTTTTCAGATACTCCCCCAGCCAGCCTGGTGCCCGCAGACCCCCTTTGCTGGGCTGGGCACCGTCTGCCACCCCCACAAGTGTTGGCTGCTAGCGGCTCGCTTCTCCAGAGAAACGTCTTCAGTGTGTTGGAGCCTCCTCACCCAGGAGGTTACGCCTCCTCCCAGCGACTTACTGATACAGCGACCAAAGAGCCGGGCCCCTGTCTCGGGGGCTGTCTCTGTGGTCCGATTCTCGCTCCAGAGCCCCCTCTGCAGGACCTGCCCTGAGCCCACACCCTTGTCCAGCTCCTTCCCGCCTTCCCCTGCCCTCAGACCCTCTCCAGACCTAGGACAGTGTCTGATCGCTCCTGTTTTACAGATGGGGAAACTGAGGCTCAGGCGGCAGAGCTGAGCGCCCGGCCCTGGTGAGTCCACAGCTTATTTCTTGACCCCGATGGCCTCCCTCATTGCTGCCTCAGGCCTGCCCGGTCCCTTGTGACCCTGAGCACCCGCGTGAGACAGGACCCCCTTAGATGTTATTTAGTTCTCTGAACACAAACTGGGCTGCCCACCTTTAGTCTCTGGGCAGGTGGTGGGGCGCCAAGACTGTCCTCTCTCCTCTCAGACTTGGAGAAGAGAAGGACCCCAGCCAGGCCTGTTGGAGGGAGGGAGAATGCAGATTTCACGGAGACTAATCTCTAACCCTGGCCATCCACGCTTCTCGGTGGCCGACCTTACACCAAATGCCTGGGAACTCTTTGCACAGCGACCTGATGTTGACCCCCAACAGCCCTATGAAGGAGGCACTGTTTGGTCCCATTTTACAGATGAGGAAACTGAGGCTCAGAGAGGTTGAGTAACTCCCACAGTGAGTAACGGGCAGAAGCAGATTTGAGTCCAGACAGCCTGACTTCAAATCCTGTGCACTGAGCTCCACGCCGGCTGCCCCTGCCCGGTGGGTGCATCTAGTGATGGAATGGGCACACCGCTCCCTCCTGGGCAGTTTTCCAGGCTGCTGGTCAACCTGCAGGGGCCCCAGGAAGGACCTCGGGCTTCGGGATTTCTGCTGCTCCCCCTCCAGCCCTCAGGACAGTCCTGGTGTCCAGCTCTCCAGGGCGTGCACAGCAGGCCCCCTACCACCCGGCCATAGGCAGCCCCAGCCCCCTGCGTTGGCCCGGCCTAGTCAGGACATGGGCCCCCAGGGGTCTCTCGAGAACTGCTCTCCCTTCCCCTGCCCAGCCTTTGGCGGCAGCGACAAAACGGGCCCGTCGGATTTGCACTTCCTCGTCTTGTCTGCCTGCAGGTGGATGATGAGGGGTTGACGGCAAGACATTTAGTTCCTGGAATCACTCACAAGCGGTTGCTGGACCCCTACTCTGAGCTGGCGATCCCACCTCCCTTCCTGCTTTTGCCTTGCAGTTATTTATTTTTTATTAATAAAAAATTGAAATCAGGGCTTCTCTTCCTTCTTCCTCCCTCCCTCCCTTCCTTCCATGTTGTGTCTGGCCTCTCTTCCCTTCCCAGCATAGTTATAGCCTAGTCTCAGTTTCTCTACATTGGTGGACCGACTGCAGCATTTATCATCTTGGCCAGGACACTTTTGGGAGGAAAGGGGGCACTATTCATAACGGCTCCAGGACAACAGGCATAAGCTGAGGACACCAGGACATGGGAACACTGGGATTGTGCTGGTCACTTGCCCAGTGGCTTGAAGATCCCCTCCCTGCCCTTCTTTGCTCCAAACCCTGGTGCATTGATCCCTCTACATTTCCCAGGATGCCTTGCCCACCAGCTCCTGCTTGGGTTTGACCAACAGCAGGCACAGGCGGAGCGAGGGGAGAAGCCGGGGTATTTCTTCCCTCTTTCTGTCTCCTCCACATCCAGTCCCTGCAGCCTCTGCTGACACCACCTTCCCCCACAGTCCCTCCAGCTCTGCCTCTGGGGAGGGCAGTGGCTAACCTCTGATTTTTCTCACCTTTTCTGTTTTCAGCTCTTGCAACACCTGAGACAAGTTCCCTATATTCAACTCCTGCTGAAGTTCCCAATGCGGGTTCTGTTTGCCTGACTAGACTTTGACAGAGAGGAGTTATCTCATGATTTTCAGTAATACACTGAAACTTCTCTTTTATACTCCCTTCACTGGAGTCAATATCTCTGGACTCCCCACCTTCTGAGAGGAGGGCATCAGAGACCCCTACTCTTTCCTCCGCCTCCCAAACAGGAAGGCCCTCCCTTCAGTGATGCTGGGGGTTTGTTTTCCATTGAGGGTGACCTGTGTACAGCCTTTCCAGGGTGTCTCGGCTTCATGCCAAGAAGGTCCCTTGGGTATTTTCATTACCTGTAAATTGTTTTTCTCGTCTCTTTACTCTTCTCAAAAAATGCTGTTGGTGTTGAACGGCTTTCGATAATTCTTCATCTTCAGCAGCTGGGAGAAGAGAGAAAGGCAAACTTCTCAGGATGGATTTTTGAACATTACTCACTAAACCTCCTCCCCCTCAGGTCTTCTCTTGAATCTGGAGGCTCTTCCGGAAGTTTCCTCGAGCACCTGTCTGCAGATCCTTCCACATGGCTTAAATTTGTCATCTACTGATGTTTCTCAAATTGTGGTCCCCCAACCACCCATATCAGAATGGCCAGAGGAGCTCCTTAAAAATGCAGGCTCCACAGCCCCATCCTCCACCTGCTGAGTCTGCGGGTCTGGGGGCCTGAGAATCTTCCTTTTATAAACTCCTGTTTTAAAAACAGACTACAGTCATGCACTGCATAACGACGTGTCAGTCAATGACGGAAACGGTGGTCCCATAAGGTCTGTATCATGGAGCCTAGGTGTGTGGTGGGCTGTACCATCTAGGTGTGTGAGAGTATACTCTATGATGTTTGCCAAGGATGAAATTGCCCAAACGCATTTCTCGGAACGTATCCCCGTCATTAAGTGACACACGACTGTGTATCTTATTTCAAAATCTTTGCCTCTTTGAGCATCCCAAGCTTCTCATTTAGGGCACCAACGTTTATTGGGAGCCTCCTCTGTACCCGGCACAGGCTGCGGGGGTCTCACATGTATTATGTCTACTCCTCACAGCTCAGGGAGGTGCACATTATTATGCTCACTAGTTACAGACAGGGAAATTGAGGCTCAGAGAGGTGAAGTGACTTACTCCAAGGAGGCCCAGCCGTCCAGTGTCACGTGGCCACAATGGGGCTGCATGCTCTGCCTCCCCCAGACATCTCCCCCAACCAAACTACCTAAAGAGGCTTCCCCCATGTTCTTTTCTTTCTCAGCCTGTTGTCTCCTTCACAGCTCTTATCAGAACTCACCATTATTTCTCTTTTCGGTTTGTGTGGGTGGTCTCTGCCTCTCTTCCTCAGAACCCTAGTTTCCCCAGAGTGTAGAACAGTGTCTGGGACACGGTAGGGGCTTAGGGAATACTCAATAAGAAGTGAATTTGTTAATGCAGGTGTCGGGGGCCAACATCTTCCAACAAGATTGCCTCCCATCCTGCAAAGTTCGGGCTTTGAGCCCATTTCCAAGTGTGTGTGTGCATGCACATGGGTGTTGCAAAGCTCTATTCCCACCCCTAACACCACTGCATCCTTTCCTCTCCTGGCCAAGAAACCCAGCCCTCCAGCACCCTCTCGCGCCCCGCCAGGGCGGAAGCGCAGCTCACCAGGCCTCCCGAAGCATCCTTCCTGCGGCTTCTGCCAGCTGAGAATGGCCTCCAGCCACCGGAGCTTGTAGAAGTCGGAGAAGCCGCTGATTCCACACAACATGACTAGAAGCACAGATGGGGACCTTCTGCAGGCCTGCCCCCCAGGCCCACCTCCTCCCACTCCCCAAGGCCCCCTCGGTGCCACCTGCGTCTTCCTGCCAGGGCAGGGCAGCTCCAGGAGGTGGGCCTCAGTGTAGGGGCTGCAGGGAGGCCGCGGAGGCTCTGCCTTAGCCAGCAGGGGCGCCCGGGCCTGGGTCCTGCCTCCCTCCCAGGGCCTCAGTCGGGGCCGCTCAAGAGTCGGGCTCAGTAGAGGGATCTGGACACCCAAGCCGGGGAGCGGCCACCCAGGGACCCCCTTTCTGCCTCATGTCTAAGGCTCTGAGGGTCTGTTTGCCAGTCAGCTGGTCAGTCTGTCCAGAGCTCCATCATTGGGTCAGCCTTCAGGGGCAGGAAGCACACAGTGGCAGAGAAAATACAGGATGCTCAGTTAAACTTGAGTTTCGGATACACAATGAATAAAAATTTTAAAGCATAAGTATAGCCCATGCAGTGTTTGGGATATATTTATACTAAAAATGTATTCATCATTTGTCTGAAGCTCAGATTTACCTGGGCACCGTGTATTTTTATTTGCTGAACCTGGCAGCCCTGCTATCTGTGTGTGTGTATGTGTGCGCACACGTGTGTGCCCCTAATTTGGGACACCCTGCTGCTCTGTCCCTAGGGTGGAGTGCTGGGGCCCACTGTTTTCCATGAAGAGGTCCCGGGTCGGGTAGGCGTATCCGATGGCCTCAGCTCTCCGGTTCAGGTCCATCATGTTGGCGCAGAAGAGGTGCATGTAGTGCTGGGTCTGGTGGAACAGCCCCTCCGTGCAGCCCTTCTGGGGGAACAAACACCGGAGACAGGGAGGTTGGTGGTCTGCATGACAGACCGCACTCTGTTAGTCTGTTACGGGAAGAGACTTGCAGTTCTGAGATGATCTTGCAAGTGGCTGTGTTTGGGGCAGATCTTTTCCCTTTTCCCAGAATTTCTTCCCCACCCACACTCCCTGCCGGGGGCTCAGTTACTGGCGTCAGAGAGAGCTGGCTTCCAGTCCCGGCTCTGCCACTCAGGAGCTGTGTGACCTTGGCCAGCTGTGTTAACCTTTCTGAGCCTCAAGGGTGAGAAAGGGCAATGCAGCAGGGAGCTGCACTGGCGGGGCACTCGCGTGGGTGGGCGAGACCCTGACTAGGAAGTGCCCCACACAACGCCCGACACTAGGGGGCGCTCTAGAGCCTCCAGCTGCTGTCATGCAGTGATTCCAGACAAACAGTCTACTCAAAGTGTGGGCCGCGGACTGGCTGCCAGGAGAGAAGGACAGGAGATGAGAACAGGCTTTAGAAACTTCTGCAGCAATGTGTCAGAATGACTTTCTACCTGACGAGCCCAATATTCAAAATACTTTTCCTCCTTAGTTAGCGTTTTTTTTTTTTTTTTTTTTGGTGAGGAAGATCAGCCCTGAGCTAACATCCATGCCAATCCTCCTCCTTTTGCTGAGGAAGACTGGCCCTGGGCTAACATCCGTGCCCATCTTTCCCCACTTTATATGGGACGCCGCCACAGCATGGCTCGACAAGCAGTGTGTCGGTGTGCGCCTGGGATTCGAACCTGCAAACCCCGGGCCACCAAAGTAGAGTGCGTGCACTTAACTGCTACACCACGGGGCCGGCCCCCATTATTTGGTTTTTATTGCCCTATTTAGAAAAATACTGGGGCCGGCCCCGTGGCGTAGCGGTTAAGTGCGCGTGCTCCGCTGCTGGCTGCCCGGGTTCGGATCCCGGGCGCACACCGATGCACTGCTTGTCACGCCATGCTGTGGTGGTGTCCCATATCAAGTGGAGGAAGATGCGGACGATATTAGCCCAGGGCCAGTCTTCTTCAGCAAAAGAGGAGTGGCATGGATGTTAGCTCAGGGCTGATCTTCCTCATAAAAAAAAAAAAGAAGAAGAAAAATACTGGTCTGTGACAACTAGCAAATAAATAATAATTAAAAAAACCTGTCAAAAACAGCGAGTCTCTTCTTGGCTAAGAATTTCTGGACATCAGATAACATTTTTGGATAGAGATAACAAGCCCTACTTTTCTCTATAAAGACACATATGTTTAAAAATGATTATTATTCAGCAAAGTTTGAGCTTTTGGGTGCTGGAGAGGTGGGAGTGGGGCTGGTTTGGTTTTCTGGAAGCTGCTATCCACCGACTATGTTCTAAGTCCTTTTCCATTTGTTGTTGCTTGCTGAGTTATTTCTACTGCTTCTCTTTGACTCTATTTCTCTCTTTTTGTTTTTCTGATGCCCTGTGATCCAGTTCAGCATGCAAAGCTGTCTGTCCAATAGAATCCCAAATGATCCCTCCCCATAGTTTGGTTCAATTTTATAGCCAACGGATGGCAGGCTACTCTCTTCCTGATGTCTGAAGCACAAATCCAAAAACCCACTTGTTTTCTTGGTGTGTAGCGTATAAAACCACTCGGCCACCAGGCCCCTTTTACGGGTGCTTGTCCTCCGGGGCGTGGCCGGGCACTCACCATTCTGGCCGAGAGGAAGAAGAGCAGCTGGTGGGACAGGCAGTAGCCTGAGCAGCCGGGCTTGCTCATGAGCGTCCTGCAGAAGTCTGAGAGTCTGCAGGGCTGGCTGCCGTCCCCCCTGGGGGAGAGGTGGTTCCAGGCTGTTAAGAGTGTCCTAAAGGAAGCCCAAGGGCATGGAGCCTTCCCAGACCCAATCCCTCCACTGGTTATTAGGATCCCCTGTAGGTCCCGGGCACCCAGCTGGGCTCCAGGGGCAGCCAGATAAAATACAGGCTAAAGCCAGTACCCTCAGCACCAGGGAGGTGACACTGGGTCTATCCTTGGTTGGGGGAGCCACATGGGGCTGCGACTTCCTATTGCTTGGGACCCCCAAGCACTGCCCTAAGCAGCAGATCCCTGAACCCAGCCAGCTTGGGGTCTGGACCCAGCATGCCCCTTCCCTCTGTGTCAGGCCTGCCCCACAACAGGGACAGAGCGACACAGGGCAGGTCCCTCACTGGAGCGCAGCCCCTCTGCGGGCCCAGCTGTGTCCTGGCCCAAACACTGCTCTGAAGGATGCTGAGAGGACGGGGGCCCAGGCACCTGCTGCCCCTTCTGCCCCAGGGTGGGTCCCGGTACCTCGGGCTGCCCCGGGGGGTCTGCTCCACGCCCACTGCACAGCAGGATAAAATGGTGAGTTAGACTGAGACCTACAGGCCCATGGGGGAGACAGAACCCTACAGAAAATGTACATTGCCTCTGTGGTGGGGAGTGGTGCCAGGACAGCCAGCCCACCACGGGAGGTCAAGGTCAGCCTGTGCAGTGGGGTCAGGGAAGGTTCTGGAGGTAGGAGGCTAGAGCTGGCCCTGAAGTGGGAGCAGAGCTACTTAGGCACAGGGGTTGGGTTGGGGCGGCGTGGGAGGAGGCCCCACAGAGGCGACTGGGCCAAGGGAAAGGCTCAGAAGAGGGAGGGAGCCAGTGCCTTTGAGGGTCTGAAAAGTGGCCCCAGGGGCTGGACCAGAGGGCCTGGGCATGAAAGGGCAGCAGGAGCTGGGGCTTCCTTCTGAGAACAACAGGGGCTTCACGCTGGGGGTGGGTGTTCAGATGAGGTTTTGAGACGATCGCTCTGGTGTGGGGAGGCCTGTCAGGAGATGGGGGTGGGAGTGCAAGGGGGGTGGGGGCTGGACGAGGCTGGAAGCCACGTGTGATGGGGTGGGAGAGGGCAGGGTCAGGGCGGCTCTGGGGGGGCTGTGCCTGGTTTTGCAGAAGTGGGGGTGGAAGCGGGGAACTGCAGATGGGGTGGGACAGGAGGACAGGCTGAGAGCGAGCGCTTTGGGACTTCGGAAATCAGGGCAAGACCAGGGGGCCCACCTGGTTCCCAGCAGCTGCACCAGGCACGAGTCACTGTGTTCCTCAGAGAAAGAGTCCTGGGGCTCGACTGTGGGGTAGACCATGGAGGCGTTGGTGCGGGTCCAGGCCTGCGGGAGCTTCCAAAACCCAGGCTGGATGGTTGGCTGGAACTCTGGCAGAGAGGAGGGGGTGGGGGGAGACCCAGTGGCAGTGGACCAGCCAGGCTTAACCGCCCCCCAGGCTCCTGTGGCTCCAAGCCAAGGAACTGGATGTCCCTCCCTGCGCAGCCCTGACCACACACGGGTGCCTGCTCAGAGCTCTAAGCCTCGCCTGCTGGTGGGGCATTGCATTTGAAACACAGGAATATTTCTCTAAAAAAAACATTAAAAAGAAATCAATAGGAACAGAGCTGGGACAGGCTTTGACTAATCCACTGTATTCTGTGGAAGCTTGAAACATATAAAAAGGGCCAGTAGCCTCCTCTGGTTGGGTTAGAAAGTGGACCTCTCACCAAACAGATGCCCAGCCAAGGGGCTTCTTCAGGATGACACCGGCTGGGATGGTCTTAGGGACCAGGCCTGGGGAGGGCGGGGGACCTGACTGCAGAGAGGCAGGCCAGAGCTCGGAAGGGTTGGGGTGTCGTCACAGGCAGCGGGGCTGTTGTCTGGCCAATCATCTCCCTGCCACCCTCAACCCGGGAGCAACTGAGGCCAGGCTTATGGGGGGGCTCTTGGTAGGGTTAACTCAAGCCTGATAAGAAGACAGAGACTCTTATCATTATAAGGCATAAGAGAGATACCAGCAAGACACTAATATTTGCCGTGCAAAAGGCCAAATTACCTTTTAGATATCCCACCCTCTGGGGCGGACACTCCCCTTCCCGCTGGTCTAGGATGGAGGCCCCAAGCCTGGGCGTGAGCTGGACAAGTGAAGGGAGACATGTTCCCTCCTTCCCACCCCCTCTGTGTGGGTGGGAGAGGTCAGCTCATCCTGGATGAAGGATGACCGAACATCCCCCAGGGTCAGCCTGTGGCGTGCTCAGCCGGCAGGACGCAGTTGGTTACAGATCGCCCCGGACCCTCCCTGCACCCGAAGGGGCCCGCACAGGTCATTTCAGTAAATGTCCGCAGATGCAGTGTTCCTGAAGAAGTGAGGCCCACCCCGTGCTCTTACCTCTTAGGTACTTGGGGTCGCTCAGCTTGAGGTAGAAAACGGATCCGTGCAGGAGAGGTGCCAGCTCGTCCACCAGCTTCCCCACACGCAGGGTCAGCGGCTGCAGCGGGGGGTCCCAGGCCCACTCCTCCTGCACGCCTTTTAGCTGCACTGGGAAGGGGCAGAGCGCATGCATTCCTCCGTTTGACCAACCACGTGGACAGGAAAGACACCCTAAGTTACTACGCTGGCTGAGCCTCCGCCTCCTCCGGCTCCAGGGGAAAGGACTTGCGGAGCTTACTGGGAGTTAGGCCTCAGCGGGGTGGTGAGGGAGGGCCAGAGGGACAGAAGGTGGTGGCTAAGAGCTTGATTTCTGGAGGTGGGCCTGGGCTCAAATCCTGACTCGCATACTTTCTTGTTGGGTGACCAGAGAAAATTTAATTTTCATTTTAATTTCTCTCCATTTCACTTTCTTCGTCTATAAAATGGGGGTAATGATAGTCCTCACTTCTTGGAGTGGGGGAGTTGTACGGATTAAATAAACTAACACATAGAGAGGACCCAGCATTGTCCATAGTGCAAAGTAAGCACTTAATAAAGTTTGGCTATTAGTATTAATTAGGGAGACAACGTTTGCTGTAGAGAAGGAAAAAATGAGGGAGGGATTCAGATTGCAGGGTGGAGAGCCACTGTGTACAGTTGAGCAGGTTGCACACTGCACAGGGGGACCATACATTCCTATCATGGGTGTGTATATGTATTAAGATACTTTTCCAGCAGATGGCAGTGAAGCAATTTGAGGAAGGGATGCCTTTTTCTAATCCTCACAAAGGTGCCCTATGGACTAGCAGTGGCCCTGCTGGAGTGGGAGAGGATGGTGGTGGCGGGGAGAGGAGGTCAAGAGGTGGCCAGAGAGGAGACGGAGGGAGCGCATCAGCACGGGGCTGAGCGAGGAGAGGCGAGGCAGGGCAGCAGGTGAGAGACGAGGCAGAGAACTGTGTGGGGGAGGGCCGATGCCGTGTAAGGAGGGTACTGAGCAGGTCTGTGGGGTGACGGGCTCTGTGACACCCCTCCCCTGACGTGGCTCCCTCCCTGGGCTTGAGCCCAGGAGTCTAGTCCTTGTTCTAGACCTCTTGGTTCTAGCAGCAGACGCAGGGTACTTCCCAGAGGGGCTGCCCCAGTCATGGCTGAGACCAGGTGGACCCGACCTGGCCTCATGGCGATCCTGGGTCCTCAGCCTTGTTCCTACGTCTCCCTGCACGTGTGGCAGCTGCTGCCACATTCTGGACCCCCAGCATGGCTGCTGGAGGCTCTGGAGGGACGCTTTGACCTCTTAGGGTCCACGTCCACCTGTGTAGCCCAAGCAGAGGACCCAGCAGATCCGTGGATATGCTGTTGCTACTGGACCCCCAGAATGTGACCCCCTTTTCTCTCTCTCCCGAGAAGGCTGAGCATGAAGGTAGGACCCTCATAGGAGGACCATGATGGTCAACTGGTGATCACGCCCTTTCAGCCCCCACACTGAATCGGGCTGACCAGTGAGACCAAGAAGAAATTGGGGAAATGATGTTGTGTGGCTTCCAAGGCTGGGTTGTAAGGGACCGGAGCCTTCCACTTGGCTTTCTCCTGGGCCACTGGCTCTGGGGGAGGTGGCTGCCGTGTTGTGCGGACACTCAGGCAGCCCGAGGGAGGGGTCCACGCGGGAGGAACCGAGGGCTCCTGCTGACAGCCAGCACCAACTTGCCAGCCCTGTGAGTGAGCGAGCTCCTCCCACCCCCGTCAGGCCTTCGGATGAACACAGCCCTGGCCGACATCTCCACTCAACCTCCTGGGAGACCCTGAGCCAGAACCACCCAGCTACGCCGCTCCCAGATCCCTGATGCCCAGAAACAGTGAGACAACAGCTGCTGTTTGAAGGAGCTAGGTTCCTGCGTAATTTGCTCTTCAGCAGTAGATTATTGCAAGGGGAGGGGGCCGGCCCTGGAGAGGGGAGGAGGCAGACAGTAGGACAGACAGTAGGAGAAGCCAGCCCAGGAGGGGGCGGCCCCGGTCTGAGGCCGGTGTGTGCTGCCGCTTCCCTCCTTCCCAGGCAGCCCCACGCTGTAATGACAGTCAGACAGAGCAGGGTTCAAGTCCACCTCTTCACTTACCCGCTGTGTGACCTGGGACAGGCTCTAAAGCCCATCCCCTCACTGGTAACAAGGGGTAACAAAGATGGACTTACCTCAAGGGTTGTGGGGAGACGCCAGCGTGATCCCTGAGGCGTGCACCCTGGGGTGCCAGCACTCAGTGGGTACTTATGAACCTCGCCTTTACTATTGCATGCACCCCCGACAGCACGCGGCCCCGACAGCACGCGGCCCAGGGAGCCATCTGCTCCCCTTCTCTCTCCGTGAGGAAGACAGACCCATGGGGCTGCTGCCGACGAGCCTGTTGTCTCCCTCGTCCCAGGAAGGTTTATGCAACCACCGCTCCTCGCCCAGCGCCGTGCCCGGCGCCCACCTGCTCCCAAGGGGTGTCACAGCAGGTGAGTTTGGATTCTAGACCCACCGCCTATCAGCTGTGAGGCGTCAGGAGGCTACCGAACCCCTCTGTGCCTCAGTTTCCCCACCTGCAGAAGGAGCAGAACAGGGCACCTCCCTCTCTGGGCCGTTTGGCGATGACACGCGGCAGGTGCCTGGGCAGCACCCAGCTCCCCTTTGCGGGGCCACACCACGGTTCCTGGGCCCAAGACACTTTTGTCTTTGTGGGTCCTTTCCTCCACTGAGAAAAAATACAATAAAGATCGTGTCTTATGACCAAGTTGGTAGGAAGATGGGTATGTTTATATTATCTATTAAACCATTTTCTTTAACTTAGTTAATTTTTTCTTCTGACTTTAAGAGAAACGGAAACATTTTCACGGGCCCCTAGAGGTATCCTGTGCAGATGGGGAAGCTGGCCCTGCGTGTTGATTTTGTTGTTAGTTTTTAGAGGAGTCAGGAGGTGGGGCTGGGATTAATGAAGGAGATAGGGCATCCGTCTTGCCGCACCCTGGTCCTGGCCTGGAGGGGAGGGGCTCGGATTTTGGGGGTCTCCAGGATTCGTCCTGGGGGGGGGGTCAGGGGTGTGGGGAGGACAGCGGAAGGCCCCGAGGCAGGGAGGCCGAGACGCAGGCCGGGGACAGAAGCAGACCTGTCCCCGAGCCCCTACTCCTGCCGGGACCTGGCGTCCTGGTGGGCGGAAAGCTGCGCTGGCAATGCAGACGGGTGATGCAGGAGCGGAGTGGGGCCAGCCAGAGCCCGGGCTGACCCCAAGCCTGCTTTGTCACGTAGGTAGGTCAGGATGGCCAGCGGGGAGGGGCTGACAGCAACTCTGGTGTGTGTGTGGGGGTGGTGCCGTTTGCCTTGGCCTGTCTCCAGCGCCCCCCCGGGATCTTATATCCCTCAAAGCAGAACAAACACTTGGCTCTTTACTCTGAGCCTCCAGCCGGCTTTGGCTGCAAGTGGGGGGAGCCGGGGCTGGAGCCCGATCTCGAGGGTCCTCGGTTTTGCCCATAGCCACCGTCCCATAAATACCCCTTCAAAGGGCACACTCCCTCTGCCCACCTTGTTTTGTGGCATGTCAGGAGGGAGGGACTGTCAAATGGATCCTTTCCTCCCGGGAAAATAATAATTTCCCAATCTTTTCTCATGTGGCCTTTGAAGTCTTCCTGCTTCCAAAAAGACTGATAACAGTGGGGGCCCAGACACCCAAAAGGAGCAAGCCGCCCCTCTTTCCTTACAGTCAAAGCAGACTGTTCAGGGGTCAGGAGGTGGCCAGGTCCCAGGGGTGCAGAGCAGGCAGGTGACAGGCTGAGGACTGGTTTTCCAGGTGGCCAGGCCGGGGGACAAGGGCGCACCCACCTTCCAGCACCCGGAACCCCACCACGCCGTCCAGGTTGACTTCGGGCAGCCTCTTCTTCAGGAAGGACGTGGCTCTCTCCAGTGCAGAGAGGATGAGGCCCGTGATGGCGGCCTTGCCCTCTGGGGTGTCCGGCGGTGGCAGCGAGGAGGGCTGCAGCGGCAGCGGTGCCAGCAGGAGGAGGAGCAGGAGCCCCAGGCTGGACATGGCTGGCTTCTGCTCCAGGCTGGTGGAGTGCACCGCCCTCCTCCTGCCTCCTCCTCCTCCCCTTCCCCCTGCAGGGGCAGGGCTGACCCAGCAGCCTGCGGAGGCCTGGGCAGAGGGCTTGGGCAGCGCAGCGGAAGGGGGCTGATGGCAGGGGCCCGGTGGTCAGGCCAGCCCTGGACGTGGAGCCAGCTGGTGCCGGACGGGAAGAGGGGCACCCACTCTCCCTTCTCACCCCAGATTCTCCAGGCCCACTGGCTACACTTTTGATCTAGCAATTGCAATTACAATCCAGAAATTCAAGGGCACTGAAACGCAAAGTATGTTTTTTTTTTAAAATAAGTTTGGAATAAACTCATTTGAGGACACACCCGCCCTGAACTGCTGGGAGATTCCTTCGAGCAGCACCCGTCCAGCAGAAACAGCATTCAAGCCGCAAAGGGGAGTCACGCGGGCACTTCACAGTTTTCTAGTAGGCACGTTAAAAGGCAAAGAGAAGCAGGGGAAATGAATTTTAATGATATATTTTATTTGAACCACTAGATCCAAAATATTATCATTTCAACTAGTAATCAATATAAAAAATTTTTTTTTTTTTACTTTTATTATCAGTTTTCTCCTATGACATCTTTGAAATCTGGGGAGTGTTTTACACTCCCGGCAGGTTTCAGCTCGGGCGAGCCCCAGTTCAAGAGCGTGACAGCCACATGGGCTCCTGTTCTGGACAGTGAGGACCTGGGCCCTGAAGCAGCTGACCCAGTGTGACAGCAGACTGTTTCCCTGCGGAGATTTTCATGCTGGTTTCCTGGGAGTGTCAAAACATGCCGGGACTGTTTCGTGTATGCGTGCCATGTTACTTTTCCAAAACCCCAAAAGTTCTGAATTCAGAAAACACCTGCCCTCAGGGTTTCAGTTAACAGATTACAGATCTGAAAAAATGATAAAAATACCGCCACCAAAATGTGCATCTGATGCTCCTTGTGAGCAGGCGCTAGGTCAAGGTTTCTCAGCCTTTTTCTTTCTTTCTTCATCATTCATTCATTATTTATTTTTTCACTCATTCATTTTTAACACGCCAAAAGGAAACCCCAAACCCAACAGCAGTCACTCCCCATTCCTCCCACCTTAGCCCCTGGCCATCACTAATCTACTTTCTGTCTCTATGGATTTACCTATTCTGGATATTTCATATAAATGGAATCCTACAATCTGTGGCCTTTTGTGTCTGACTTCTTTCACTGAGCATAAGGTCCTCAAGGTTCATCCAAGTGGTAGCAGGTGTCGGAACTCCATCCTTTTTCAGGATGAATACTATTTCACTGTATGGATGGGTACACTGTATCTGTTCATCAGTTCATGGACATCTGAGTTGTTTCCACCTTTCTGCTATTGTGATTAATGCTCATATAAACATTCCTTTACAAGTTTTTGTTTGAAAATCTGACTTCAGTTCTCTTGGGTAGATACCTACGAGTGCAACTGCTGTGGTAATTCCACGTTTAACTTGTTGAGGAACCGCCAAACGATTTTCCACAGTGGCTGCACCATTTTATGTTCCCACCAGTGATGTATGAGGGTTTCTTATACACAAGGGTTTGTGTGGAACCCCCATGAAATTTTAATACTATAGATATACTGTATATTTTTTGGCATGCTGTATCTATATCTGTGCTTTATACATAAAAAGAGTAAGATTTTTTCCTTCCCCAACAACCATTTTTTGCCCCCTTGGGTGTGCCATTGAGCACGGATGTTCCGGGTGAAGCTTGTTGCTATCATTACATCCGTTAATCCTTACAGCAACCCTGGAAGAGAGTACTATTCTTAGCCCCTTTTATACCTTAAACAAAACCTTTGGCTCCCAGAGGGTAAGTGACTTACTGTGACCCACTGTCTCACAGCTCGTATGAGGTCCACATCCTAACCGTCAGGTAATCCTGCCAGGGCTCAGCCTCCCGTCTCCAGGAGGGGAAGCAACACCCTCTTGACCTTTGGGAGGACCGAATTTTGTGTGATGAATGTCAAGGGGGCAGGCAGGACAAGCGAGGTGGGCCCAGCTCTGGGGCACCCCCGGCTGGTGATGCATCGGGCTCCCCTCTCCCTGGAGAAACGGTCCCACTTCTTTTCCAGTCACGGTCTCCTCTTCCAGAGCCAGGCATTTACTCTTGGTTTGTCAGAACCATGGCGCCCGGTCCTTATCCTCTCAGATCATCAGAGCAAGAGGGGCTCTCTGAGAGGTGGAGTCCCCTCCCTTAATTTACAGGTCAGGAAAGCCAAGTGACTGAGAGCGACTTGCTCAAGATCAAGGAACCCATGAGGCTGAGGCCTCCAGATCCCAGCCCTGTCCCTCCACAGAGGGTGGACGGAGCGGGCAGGGCACGTGCTCCAGCCTCCCACCCCCGGCACATGCAAGGAAAGGCAGGGTTCTCGCTGGGAGGCTGCCCATGGTGTCTGTCTGCCCGTCCCTCCCATCTGTACATACTTCCTCATCCTTTCTTCCCATCTTTGGGTCAGGTTCCAAGCCCTGCCTCTGCCACATACTCACTAATGGTGTGATCTTATCTGTACAAAGGGGAATCACAGGGCTACCGTGAGAGGTCAATGAGAAATGTGCCAAGTCCTGAGCTGGCTCTAGGGTCACTTGGGAACCACATCATCACGGTGCTGCCCTGCCCTGTGGGCGCCGCCCTGTCCAAGCTCTTAGCTAGGCAGCAGGCGCTGTCTTCTTTCCTTGTTGAATGTGTGAGTGGGTGAGGCAGGCCCCAGGCAGATTCTGGGGCAGCTCTCCAGGTGGGGGCAGTGGGGGTGACTTCACTGATACGCTCTCAATGTTTCTCAGCAGGGGGACGCCTTTCAAAGCCAAAAGGCTGTCATGTCACATGGACACACACTAAACTCTGTAGGTGGCTACTGTGGGAGGAGAAATGGATGGGTCAGTGGGGAAACTGTCCCTTCTTACTATGGACACTTAGAATCATTACGGTTTTTACTTCCTTCTTTACCCTTTTCTCTTCTTTCTCTTTTAAATGTTTTACTCAAATACAACATACATCCTGAAAAATGAATAAGTTTGCTTCCTGATGAATTTTCCCAAATGGAACACACCCACGTTACCAGCTCCTGGATCAAGAAACAGAACACGACCAGAAACCCCCTCCAGCTCCCCACTGCCCCGCCCACTCACTCCCGGACCCTCCAAGACAGCTCACTCTCCTGACTTACCAGCAACGAGTAGTTCTGATTTTATACAAGCAGAACCAGCCAGTATGCCCTCTGGCTTCTAGCCTCTTTTTCTCAACATTATGCTTATGAAATTCATCCAAACTGTTGTCTCACTGTGTTTTGAAGTTATCTTAGAACTTCGGAAAAAAAATGTTCCCAGATCCCCATATCCTAACAGCTTTACCTTAACACCACGAATTCTTTGCCTCCAGGGTAATCCTGGGAGGTTCCGCGGGCCCCCACTTAGGGAACCGCGTCCCCCGCCTCCCTTCTCTCCGCCCACCACGGAGGCTCGGTCTGCGGCTGCGCACAGCGCGCCCGGCCCGCGGGAGCGCGGCCACGTGACCGCTGCCGGCCCGCCAAGATGGCGGCTTCCTGCGTGGCCTTGGTGGCCCTGTCCCTCTGCCTGCCACTGCTGCTGCTGGTCGCGTGGAAGCGCTGGCGGCGGGGGCGCGCGGCCCGGCACGTGGTGGTCGTGGTGCTGGGCGACGTGGGCCGCAGCCCCCGCATGCAGTACCACGCGCTGTCGTTGGCCAAGCGCGGCTTCTCCGTGACCCTCCTGGGGTTCTGCAGTGAGTGCCCGGGGGTCTGGGAGGGAGGCTGCTGTCTCAGCCTTTGACCCTCGGCTTTGACCGCCCCAGGGGGGCCGAGGGGGTGCGCCCGTTTTCTCTCTCCTCCCTGGAGCAGCTCTCCGAGATTGGATGAGTCGGGCTCTGGTCTAGACAGCTGTTGCCAGGTTTCAGCGCGGCCTCTGCAGGGCGGGTCTCTAGGAACAGCTGTTGCTAATGGAGCGCTTTCCTTATGGTAGGGCTGTGCTAAGCTAGGTGAACTCGTTACAGTCTCACTTAATCCTCCTGGTAAGTGGAAAGGCGGACTGGAACCCAGGTGCGTGTGACTCCAGGACCAGTGCTGGTAACCACATCTCCGTGGGGCTACTGTCCTCAGGCTGAACGGACAACTTGTCTCCTCGCCATTCCTCACCCTCAGTGCAGAGCTCCGCGGGCAGATGTTTCAGTTGCCCGGCACGTCCAGCTTTTTCCCTCAGTGTACGCCCCTCCATCTTCCTCCGTGTTGACATTTTTAGAGGGTCGCTCAACCCGGTATCAGGGAAAAGTGGGAGTAACACTGGTTGCCGCTGGTCCCTGTTTAGAGTCTGCTGTCCCAGGGTGAGGGAGAGGAGTGGGACTTCCTGGGAGTCTCTGTGTGGTGGGATAATTCCACCATCCAGGGAATCTAGATCACTTTGAGTACCTATTATGTGCCAGGTATTGTGTTAAGTAAATAAAGGTGGAAAAGATTTGGGCCCTCCCTGTGTGGGCAGTCCAGTGGAATCTGGACAAGAACTGGCCTCATTCTCTGTTCTGGCTACTGAGGAACAGAGAGAGGTCTGGAAAAGTCTTATTCTCCGAAGTTCTCTACTGTTCATCCTGAGCTGGGGTATCATCTGACGTTAAATTAGATTGCCTGTTCAGTACATTAAAGGGGAGATTCTGGGGCCGGCCGGTGGTGCAAGCGGTTAAGTGCAAGTGGTTAACTGCGAGCGCTCCGCTGCGGCGGCCCGGGCTTCACTGGTTCGGATCCCGGGCACGCACCGACGCACCGCTTGTCAAGCCATGCTGTGGCGGCGTCCCATATAAAGTAGAGGAAGATGAACACGGATGTTAGCTCAGGGCCAGTCTTCTTCAGCAAAAGAGGAGGAGTGGCATGGATGTTAGCTCTGGGCTGGTTTTCCTCAGCAAAAAGAGGAGGATTGGCATGGATGTTAGTCCAGGGCCAGTCTTTCTCAGCAAAAGAGGAGGAGTGGCATGGATGTTAGCTCTGGGCTGGTTTTCCTCAAAAAAAAAAAGGACATTCTTTTCAGACTCCAGGCCCCATGAAGAGCTCTTGCAGAGCGACAGAATTCAGATTGTGAGTTTGACAGAACTTCAGAGACTTGCAGGTAGGATGCAGTGAACTCCGGATTCCTTTGAATCTCTGTGTGTGTGTGTAATGTGTAAATTGGCAAGAATTCCTCTGGTAGTGAGGCTATTGTTTGCCTTGCAGTCGGGCCCCACATTCTCCGGTATGGAGTCAAAGTCGTATTCCAGGCAGTGCACTTGCTGTGGAAGTTGATGTGCAGGGAGCCGGCAGCCTACGTCTTTCTCCAGGTCTATTTCTCCCTCTGTGAGAACCACTGTTAAGTTTTCTTTACTTTCCAGCCTTTTAAAAATGCACAGATTGGGAAATAAATTGTATATTTGTGAGTGTGTATATATAAACTTTTAAAAACATGAGTAGGAGCTTATAGTAGATGTCCAGTCTATGTATGGTACCCATCCGTTCTCTTTTCTCTGTCATTATAGACAGTGTCTTACATGGTACTTAGTACATATCTAAGTGTGTTATATGTATTAACTCGTTTAATTCCTCACAGCAATCCTAAGAAGTAGGTTCTTGTATTACCTACATTTTAGAGAAGGGGAAACCTAGGCCCAGAGAGGTTCTGTAAGTTGGCCCTTGTCACACAGCTAGGAAGTGCTGGAGTCAGGATTTGAACCACATAGTCTGGCTCTGGAGTGACGCTCTTAAACTCTTCCTCTCAGTGCTTTTCCACAGGTAGAAGCACCCTCTTTTAGTTGGCTGCATTGCGTTCCAATACGTGATTTACCCAACGTATTTATGCAGTCTCATCTTGATGGATACTCAGATTCTTCTTGTTTTTTCACCTTCACAGATAGTGTGGTGAACAGCATCAGTGAACATAGGTTTTTTGCAGTTTCTTTCTTAGGATAAGTTCCCGTGGGTGGAAGTGCTTGGTCAGAGCTCAGGCACTTGTTCAGTGTTGTAGTGTCTACTAGAGAGTCCCAGAGTAGGGCTGGGCGCATTTATCCCCCCACGGGGCTGCCTCTTCCCCCTCATCCTCACCACCACTGGCTGTTGTTACACGTTTCAGAGTTTGCATTCTGATAGGTGAGAATTTCACCTCCTTGTTCCATTTTTTGTCTCCTTGATTATTGATGATCTCTGACTTTTCAGGTTGGTCAATTTTGTTTTATGACCTTTTATACGTTTTTTGGTGAGGAAGAGGGTCTTTCTTCTGCTTATTGATTATCAAGAGCTCTGTAGAGATAGTCAACTCTTTGCCATGTAAGTTGCAACTGTTTTCGCTCAGTTTATTGTCGACTGTGGTCTGGGTTTCCTCCTCTTCATTCGAGTCTCTCTCTCCCAGAACCCCCCAGGCCTGCCTGCCATTGCCGTCTGCTGGTTTGTGTGCTGTCTCTATGGGAGCAAGCTCGTCATCGACTGGCACAACTACGGCTACTCCATCATGGGTCTGGCTCACGGCCCCAGCCACTGCCTTGTTCTGCTGGCCAAGTGGTGAGGGTCTGGGAAGAGGGTGCCCATTGTCCCCAAATGTGGTAGGAAGAAGGGCCAGCGCCGAGACTCGGGGAAGCTGGTTGCCCATGTGCCCTGTGGGGTCAGGGCAAGGCTGGGCTGATGCTGGTTATAAGTGACAGGAAGAGGCCTAAGCAAAGGAGAGCGTTCATTGGCCCATGGGACTCCAAAGTCCAGAGAAATGGCTGACTTGGAGCTTCGGAACCCCCCTCAACTCTCCCCACACTCCCTCCTGGAGATGTTTCTCGGGTTCTGGGAGCTCCCCTCGCTCTCATCGCCACCCCATCAGGCTCAGGGGAGACAGCGAGCCTCTCTGATTGGCTCGTGCTCCCCTGCCATCCTCTGACCCCCACTGAGGCGGGGGGGCTGCCATGCCCTGGTCTCGGGCTTGGGAGAAGTGCTCCACTGTGAGAGCTGGGGTTCCGGGTGCACCCAGACCAGATCCCCGAGTTAAAACTGGGGGCTGCTGCTGGCAAGTGGGGACACAGGCCACAGTCTGCTGCCCCTGGGGAAACGGAGAGGGAAGAAGGGCCCGCGGGAGGAGGTGGACCTGGGGCAGGAAGAGTCGGTTGTGTTCTGAGCCTGAGGATATGACATCTGCCTCAGTGTGGACCTGCAGTCTCAAGCCATGGGCTGTGGCCTTTCCCGACAGCTCATTCATCAACGGTGGTAACAGCGGCAGCAGCAGCAGCAATCATTGAGCGCTTGCTGCATGCCAGGCCTCAGGCCAAGCCCTGTATCCCTCCAGTCCACACCGCCTCCAGTGAGGCTATCCTGTGATGACTCCCGTTTACAAGCCAGGAAGCCGAGGCTGAGAGCCACTATGCCACTTGCCCGAGAGCTAGTAAGTGTGAGGACCAGAATTGAGTCCCAGGCTGTCCACCTCCGGTGCTTTCTCTGCATCCTGAATGGGAACGGGCCACGAAACACCAACAGCGTTCCGTAACCTCGAGTCGCTCATTCCCCTTCCTGTTCTCTTTCAATCCCGCCCTGTCATCAGGGCTCAAGTCGCAGTTTGGAGCTAGTCAGCCGTTAAGGTCTCTCTAACATCTGCTAACCTCCCCATGCAAGGCCTCGAGAGCAGGCCTCTGCGGGCAGTAGCGCGGCGTGGCTAAGACTGAATAACGAGGCCTTTGTTGCTTTCCTTCTTGTTGGCAAGAGAGACTGGACTTTCCCTTGCGTGGTGATATATGGTTTCCTTTTAAAGTAATGTATTTAAGCTGAAAGTCGACCTGTCTTAAAGAAGGGTGTGAAGGAAGTGATAGTGCAGGTGGAACTCAGTGCAGACTCTGGGAAGGTGCCTCGCCAGACACCTGAGTTGGGAGCCCCCAGCTCTGCAGCCCCTTCCATATCAGGAGGTGTCCTGTCACACGGCGGCAGTGGTGGTGGTGGCGGTGGTGGTGGTGAGGCCCAGGGCTCCGGGCTGACCAGCGCTGTGTCTTTTCAGGTACGAGAAGCTCTGCGGGCGCCTCTCCCACCTGAACTTGTGTGTGACGAACGCGATGCGGGAAGACCTGGCAGAGAACTGGGGCATCAGGTAGGGGCCTGGGGAGGCGAGGGGGCCCGGCACGGTTGGTTGCAGCTGCAGTGCCTCCTGTGTCCTATTGAGGAGGCATCTAGAAATAGCCAGGGCCTGCGAGATGGTTACTGGTTCTGGGAAGAGGAGGGAGGAGGAGGAGGCCAGAGTTTCTTTCCCAGCCAGCCAGCCCAGAATTGGTCTTAGAACATCTCTCTGTGTTTCCCCAAGTCATTCTAACGCTTCTTATTTTCCTTATCTGAGACCCGGATCCCCTAAGTGCCCTTCTTTGTCTGGATCCTCCAGGGTCTCATATTCCTTAGGCCTTTCTCAGGCCCTCCCTCGAGCCCCAATGATCTCATTGCAGAGCCGTGACTGTCTACGACAAGCCAGCATCTTTCTTTAAAGAGACGCCCTTGGACCTGCAACACCAGCTCTTTATGAAGCTGGGTCGCACCTACTCTGTGTTCAGGGCCCGGTAGGTCTCCCGTCTTCAGTCCTCAGCTGCCTTCTCTCCTCCTCCCTGCTGTCCTGGCCTCTCCTCTGTCTCCTCCCTGCAGACCTGGGAACCCACTAATCCAGGGCTTGGCAAACTATGGCCGCAGGCCTGCTGCTTGTGTTTGTAAGTCAAGTTTTGTTGGAAGGCAGCACGTTCATTCATTTACTTACTGTCTATGGCTGCTTCTGCGCTTCAACAGCAGAGCTGAGTTTTGCAACAGAGACCCGGTGTTCTCCAAAGCCTAAAGTATTTACTCTCTGGCCCTTTAAGGAAACGTTTGCTCTGTGCTGGGCTGTGGGCACCCTTACTCTCTGCCGGCGGGTTCCTGACCCCGTGGTGGGCCGTGGACGTGTGTGCTCTCTGGGCCGTGTCGCTGGGCTGAGATGCCCTTTGTGCAGCTCTTCACACCCCGTCGCCTGCTCCTCAGTAACCTGGGAGCCAGCTGGAGGGGTAGCACGGTGTCCGCACCCTAAGTTGATAAGAACAGTCAGCCCCATGAAGGCAGGGCTGCGTCGGTCTTGTCTGCCGTTGTGACCTCAGCGCTTGGCAACAAATAAATATGGATCAAGAAAGAAATCGAGGCACGTGTCTGTGCCCTGGCCTTGGGTGGCAGCTCGGCCTGGTGGCTCTGACGTGGCTGCACTCTGATCTTTGGGAGCCTGGCGGCCTCGCTGGCAGGAGTCGGCTGTCTGGGGCTGCGGGCCTGCTCCCTGGCACCTCACGGGCCCTGTCTCTGCTCCTTCAGCTCCGAACCGTCGGACGCGGCCACGGAGAGGTCGGCCTTCACGGAGCGGGCTGCACGGAGTGGCGAGGTGACACATCTTGGCGGGCGGCCGGCCCTGCTGGTCAGCAGCACGAGCTGGACAGGTGTCGGGACCTCCTGGGCCCTCGGCGCTCTGCCGAGCACCTGGCTGAGCCTGCCTTCCCCGCCCCCTGCCAGGCCTGCGCCCCACACGCATTCGGGGCCGCGGGGCCCCATGAGAGGGGAGGGCGTCGAGCTGGGAGGGGAGACATCTAGAAACTGGCCGTGACACCCCGTTCTCTTCTCTTGCAGAGGATGAAGACTTCTCCGTCTTGCTGGCGGCGTTAGAAAGTAGGTGTGTGGCTGTGACCAGGAGCTGGCTTGTGGGGGCGGTTGAGCTGCGAGGGGCTCGCCTGACCTTGCCTGGCGTCCTCCGCGCTGTGCTCCTGCCCCTGGGGCCACTGGCTGGGCTGGCCTGAGGGCACGGGTGGTGGAGGTGGCGGCTCTGAGTCCCCATTTGGGTCATTGAGTGACCAGGCCCTAGATCTGAAGTGCTGCCTCCAGGAGAGTGACCTCGTGGTTGGGACGGTGCCCCTCCCCTTCCCCTCCCCACCCCCATGCATCTGACTAGATGTTCCTGGTTCTCATTTATTTATTTTTTAAACAGAGTTTGAACAGCTGATCCTGGGTGGAGAGAGCCTGCCTTCTCTGGTCTGTGTGATAACAGGTACCGCCTGGGACCACCGTGTTCCTGTAGAAATGGGGGCAGTAGAGGGGAGGAGGGCACCCACCTTCACTGTGTGTCTTCCCCATGTCAGGCACACGACGTTCCTTGTCTCCTTAATCCTCCCCACAGCTCTCTGACGTAGGGTTTTCTACACCAGCTTGACAGAGGGGGAAACTGAGGTTCAGACGGGCCTCACGGCAGGACATGGAGTCTAGATTTGACTCTTGGAGAGTACGACCTCAGGGACACTGAGCTGTCCACTTCTGCAGTGGTTCCCCAGCATCTTTTTTTTTTTAAACAACAGTTCACTGTCCGATGTAAAATTGCTTCCAGAATAGCCAGGGGGAGGGAGAGAAGCAGGAGAGCTGTGGCTGCAGGAGGGGGGGCCTGGGCCGGCTGCCTGCCTTGCACCTCCTCTCCTCCTGGTCCCTGGGCTCCCAGGGGCGCCAGGAACTGACCGCACCTGCCATGCCCCCTGGGGCGCTTGGCGGGGCACGGGGCCGTGGCTCTGGTGCCAGGCCACCTTCCCAGCCTGAGGCCCGCGGTGCAGGTTGCCAGGGGAAGGGCTGTGGGCTCAGTGGTCAGGGTGCGTACCCCTGGGGAGTTGTTTCTGGAAGGGCCTGGACGGGTGCCTGATTAGAGCGGAGTGTGGCTTTTGCGCACGCCCTCATAGGGGCTTCTCAGGCCTGGGGCAGTTGGACGGGGCCAGAGATGGGCCCCGTGCAGTGATGCTGATTTTCTCTGCAAGGCAAAGGGCCTCTGAAGGAGTATTACGGCCGCCTCATCAGCCAGAAGCATTTCCGGCACATCCAGGTCTGTACCCTGTGGCTGGAGGCTGAGGACTACCCCCTGCTTCTAGGTAAGAGCGTCCGGCCGAGGCCTGCAGGGAGCGGGCTGCATTGTCCTAAGATGGGGGGGTACAGAGTTTTCCTGAGAAGGGCCAGATAGTAAAGATTTTACTGGCCTGTCACATTCTTTGTTTTTAGAATCCTTTAAAAATTAAAAGCCGTTCTCAGCTCAAGGCCCATACACACACAGGCTTCAGGCTGCGCTGGGTCCTGTGTTGGGCCCTTCTCCAGGGGCACCTGGGGAGGGAGAGGCCGCCTCCAGGAACCTGTTGGAGGAGCTCTTGGCTGACCTCTGGAAGAGGCCCTTTCCTGGTGAGCCAGCTCCTCCCTGCCTGGGGGGCCCGGGAGCTGTTTGTCAAGGGATTCTGAGAGGTTGCATCCTCTTATCCTCCATGCCCTCCATTCAGTCGTGCTCTTCTGTTCCTGGCAGAAGGGCTGGGCAGGGCTTGAGTTGGGGCCCACTGTTACCCCAGTCCGGCAGGTGCAGAGAGGCCGCCCCTCCCCTCGTCTCCTCCCGTCTTCCTTACTCGGGGAGGCGGTGTAGGCTTCGTGCTGGGGAGTCTCGGAGGCCACCTCTTCCGGCAGCCGGTGAGCAGTCGGGCCGAGAGCCGAGGCCGGGGGAGTTTCCAGCCAGTGTTTGGGGATGTGAGGTGGTTTATTTGGCTGTATTTTCACAGTGACAGCTAGTTTTGTGTTGGGTCTGCTGTGAGTTCTTTTTCTATTATTGTGATAAAATATATATAACAAAATTTGTGATTTTTACCATTTTTCCATTTTTAAGTATATTTACAACTCAGTGGCATTAATTACATTCACAGTGTTGAGCAGTCATCACCACTATTTCCAAAACAGTTTCATCACCTCAAGCAGAAACTCTCAAGCCATTAAGCAATAATTGCTATAGGTTCTTTTATTTATTTACGTTTATTTTTTTTGTGAGGAAGATCAGCCCTGAGCTAACATCCATGCTAATGCTCCTCTTTTTGCTGAGGAAGACCGGCTCTGAGCTAACATCTATTGCCAATCCTCCTCCTTTTTTCTCCTCAAAGCCCCAGTAGATATTTGTATGTCATAGTTGCGCATCCTTCTAGTTGCTGTATGTGGGACGCGGCCTCAGCATGGTCGGAGAAGCGGTGCATCGGTGCGCGCCCAGGATCCGAACCCGGGGCTGCCAGTAGCGGAGCGCACGCACTTAACCGCTAAGCCACGGGGCCGGCCCTGCTATAGGTTCTTTTAAAATAAATTGTGGTTAAGTAGAAAAAGGGAGTCAGTTTTTTTTTTTCTGAGGAATATCAGCCCTGAGCTAACATCCGTTGCCAATCCTCCTCTTTTGTGCTGAGGAAGACTGGCCCTGGGCTAACATCCCTGCCCATCTTCCTCTACTTTATATGGGACGCCGCCACAGCATGGCTTCACGGGCAGTGCGTCGGTGCGCGCCCGGGATCCGAACCTGCGAGCCCCGGGCCGCCGAAGCGCAGTGCATGCACTTAACCGCTACACCACCCGGCCGACCCCGGGAGTCAGTTTAAATAAAAGTATTAGTGACAGGCAGGTGGTTTTCAGAGGGGCAGAGTGGCAGGAGTGGCAGTTGGGAAGCCCTGCCCTGTCCCGGCCTCGCGCCAGGCTGCTTGGCTGACTCTGGCCAGTTCTGTGTGGGGTTGGGGGTGTTATTATCCACAGTCCACTCCCCAGCGGGACGTTGCCCCGCAGTCCTGTAGGGATTTGTGTCCACGGGGCGCATGGCCAGCGCTCTGACGGCGCCTCGCCCTCCCCTGCAGGGTCGGCGGACCTGGGCGTGTGCCTGCACAAGTCCTCCAGCGGCCTGGACCTGCCCATGAAGGTGGTGGACATGTTCGGGTGCTGCCTGCCCGTGTGCGCCGTCAACTTCCGGTGGTAGGAGCAGGACCCGAATCTTCCTGGAGTTCGCTTCTCAGATCAGCAGCTGAGGGGAGCCAGCACAGTCAGGATTGCCCGGGGAAGGCCCTGGAAGGGTGCTGCCTCCCTATCCGTACAGCAGGCCAGGTTCCTGTGGGAGGCTGCGTCTCACCAAGGAGTCTGCTTCCACTAGAGCTCACGTTGAATAAAAAATACAGGTCGTCAGTGCTCTGCCCAGGGGCGTGTGCTCCCAGGACAGAATGTGGCTGGAATTGCCGGCACGGTGTACATGATTCTATTTCTCTTCTCTGTCCCGTTTGTCTGCGCTCATATAGTTGGATTCAGATCAGTTAAATGAGCGTAACTCTCTGTCTCCACTCTTCCTGGCAAAGACAGGCGTTTGGAAAGGGCAGTGTTGGAAGAGGTTCTAGAAACAGTAGCCCCACTCGGCTGGTGAGCCAGCCTCTGAATGGGACATACAGATGAATGGGATGTTAGGCCCCGAGCTCTGGGCACGTTGGAATCGACCCCCTGGTTACCCAGAAAAGTCCCCCTTAATGTGCCGAGCCCACCTCCCATGGGGCTGCCTTTGTTTCTGCTGTGGAATTTAGGAAAAAATGCAGACCTCATTGAACACGTTCTCACTGAAAAGAGCATTCAGCAGAAAAGGTGCAAGTTGGTTTGAATTTTTAATGTGTACCCTTCCAGGTCTTTTCTATTCAGACGCCAAATCTAAGAGCAGATCCGCTGAAACCAGACTGACTGCTCCTGACCCCAGCTTAGCCTGCTGGTGGGGTGGGGCGGGGTCCGGGTGGGCACCACGGGGTTCCGGTTTCTTCTCCAGGCAGCTCTCAGCCCTCCCGCGATTCTCTGTAGCTTACACGAGCTGGTGAAACACGAGGAAAACGGCCTGGTCTTCGAGGACTCGGAGGAACTGGCGGCTCAGCTGCAGGTAGCCCCGTCCGCCCCCTCACCAGGGCTTGGAGGGTTTTGGAGGCTGGCACCGGCCCCTGCTTGTGGATTCCTTGTTCCTGCAGCTGGCCGGCCTGTGCTGAATCTGGATGGAAAGCCGAGGGAGGGAGCAGTGGTCTCAGAGGCTGGGCATCAGTGGGCTCAGGGGAATTAGGGCAGGCCCCGTGTGCCCTCTGGGTTCATGGATCTTCCACCACAGAGATGATGCTGGAGGCGGGTGGCCCATGCGTGCCATGTAGGGAGTGACTGGATTTGAGAAGGGAGGGTGAGGAGTGAAGGGAGCTTCCTGGACCAGCCTTTTGAGATGGGTGTGAGTCTTCAAAGGATGCTTATTTCTTGTTACACAAAGTAATACATCATCATTCTTGACAATTGAGACCAGAGGCGGCAAAATTTCTGGAAAGGCCCGGATAGGAAATATTTTAGGCTTTGCCATAGTATTTGTCAGAACTACTTAGCTCTGTCCGGGGCCGTCCCGGTGGTGTAGTGGTTAAGTTCGCATGCTCTGCTTCAGTGGCCCAGGGTTCGCAGGTTCGGATCCCGGGTGCGGACCTACTCATTGCTCATCTAAGCCCTGCTGTGGCGGCGTCCCGCATACAAAATACAGGAAGATTGGCACAGATGTTAGCTTAGGACCAATCTTCCTCGCTAAAAAAAAAATAAAAACAAAAAAACACTACTCACCTCTGTTGTAACATGAAGGCAGCCACAGACAATCTGAAGGAAAGGGTCTGGCTGTGTTCCAGTAAAACTTTATTTACAGAGACAGGTGGAGGGCCACATTTGGCTATAGTTTGCAGACCCCTGACTTAGTTCAGCAAAGCTGGAAAGAACACAGACATCACCTAGTTCCCAGCATGTGGGTCAGATGGTGCTGGGCAGAGGCTGAGGGGCTGGTGCTGGTGGAGGGAACAGCGCGGCAGAGGTGGGGGGCTGCTGCAGGGCAGGGCGTGTGGACGGTGTGGATGGTGAACACTGCAGCTTGGCTGTGCTGTCAAGTAGGAGCAGAGTAGATGAGGCATGGTGGGGTGGGAGGGCTCTCCTGTGCCTGGTGAGGGAGGGGGCTTGCTGGGTTGGGGATACTGGGGTCAGAGCTGGGTTTGAGAACGAGAATGGTTAGTTAGCCAGGCCTGGTGTGGAGGCGGGGCCAGAGCAGGGAGGTCTGCTGGAGGCTCTAGGACGCTGGAGGTGGTTCCTGAAGTGCTGCGATGGATGGGAGGGTTTCAGTAGAATCACTGGCATGCCTCCCATGTTTGGGGTGGGGCAGGAGTCCAGGCTGCTGGGAGGGAGAGGGGACAGCTCCCTGGGGGGACCTGCGGTAGGGGCGGGATGCGGTAGGTTCTTGTCTTTATTTTTCTTCTAGATGCTTTTCTCCAAGTTTCCTGATCCTGCTGGCAAACTAAGCCAGTTCCGGAAGACCCTCCGGGAGTCAGAGCAGCTTCCCTGGGATGAGAGCTGGAGGCAGACGGTGCTCCCTTTGGTCACAGACACATGACCCCTTGGGCCAAAGACTGAGACCACCCCCTCCCCCCCAGCGTGTCCTTGTGCTGGATGTCGTGAGGAGATAGACCTTCCCGCTGACGGCCACCCCTCCCTGCCTCCTCTCCTCCCTCCCCCGAAGCCTGGCCCACCCCCCTCTTCCCGCTGCCCCGTCCCTGGGCAAACTCTGCAGAGCAGCGCCTCCCAGTGGACGGCAGCGGAAAGGACACAGCGGGCGCCACCTGTGGAATGAGTTTTTTTTTTTTTTTTTTTAACAACCAGGAGTTTGTGGCCCAGGAACCGGGTTCAGCCTGGGCTCTTCTTTGGAGGCTGGGAGTCACTTCCCACTTTTCTTCTGTTCTGTGAGTCGCCCCCCCCCCCCAGTGTATTACTGTTCTGTTATTTGCTTGTGACGTCTTCGACGTCTGTTCCTCGCTGTTTTTGTCTCCTGCTGTCTGCCCTTCCCGGCATCTGCCCTCCCCCCGTCCCTCATCTTTCCATTCCTGCCTTGAGGACAGGCACCGCGGCCCGCTGCACCGTGAGCAGTAGATGTGCCACGTGGACAGCGGGCTCGGCTTTGTGAGGGACGGGTGTCCAGGTTGGGAAACTCACTGGCTGTGTGTTTTTATTTGCACAAATGAAATGCTTATCTCTGAGCCAGAATTTTCATTTCTGATTTACGGTGATTTGCTTAAGCTGACAGGAAGGGGCACCTACATGCTTGAACGGTTTATATTTTATTAGAACACAGTTTGTGCTTCCTGATTTGGACTTTAACATTCTTCAAGCAGTCAAGTCCAGTGAAAGTTTTATCAGCTTTCCCACATAAAAATTCTTTCCAGGATAGTGATTTACTTTTCACATTAATCTTCGGAAACGTCTGTAGACCTACAGTGTCAGCTTCAGAATCGCCGTCTCCGACTGCTCTTCATAGGGAAACAGTTTCTGGTCGTGATGAGGCGCCGTTTCCCAGGGGATCCCTGCCCGGCCTGGAAACAGAGCATTCATGTCTCAGGATGGCGGGGTCTGGGGACTGGACACGACCATATCAGTGCGGGGCTGGGGGGTGTACAAACCACGTTTCCAGGCCCCCTCCACACACCCAGACTCAGCCTCCAGGGGCAGGACCAGGGATCGTGTTTTTAAACAGCTCACGGCAGGGCTGCCGCCTCTGCCCACAGGGCTGTGCTCATCCCTGGAAGGTCACGGCCCTGTCTGGGCTCCCTATCGCTCTGCACCTGTCCTCCACCCTGTCACCAGGCACAGCTGGGGAGGAGCTGAGGTATGAACCTGCGTCCGCCTGACTGCTCAGCCCAGCGCCTCTTCACAAAGGTGGGACGTGCGTCAGAGGGGATCATGTCCTCTGCGTAGGCACAGATGTCTGAAGGTCCCTTGGGGAGGGTTGTTTCGTCATCAGTTTTTTATGAATGAAAAATTAGTATTTATAAAAATGAAATACTAGATATAAAAGTGTAGAATGTCATAATCCTGCCATCCAAGTGTAACAACTGTTACTTGGTGTATATTCCTCCAGATTTCCCCCATATGTATATTAACATGAAGATTATTTTTGAAAATAAAAATGGGCTCATACTATGTACACCATTTGGCACTTTGCTCTCTTACCTTAAATATATTGCAGGTATTTTTTCACATGAGACCCTGAGGCAGGGCTTCATTCTTTTTTGAGGCTGCACAGCACTCCCCCAGTGGGATGCCGGCACCCATGGGTGGGCGTGTGGACCATTATCCATCGTGTGTGTGTGCGCGCGTGTGCGTGCGTGCAGGAGAGGTTTGCTCGGGGGGGAGGTTGGGGCAAACACAGGGTCCTGCACGGCTGCCAGGCTGAGTGTGGAAACCCTGGGCAGGCCTGGCGCACAGTGGGGACTGCAGGGTGGTGGTTGGTAGTCACGGGGTGGGGGTGGAGGGTGGGGGCGGCTGCCTGGCTCCAGTCTGTGCTCAGGCATTTGCTTACCCTCCCTGCACCCCAGTGTCTCCGTGGGTGAGATGGGAGGATGGCAGTGCCCCTCCAGGTGCTGGGGGCTGACTCGTGTGGTCTGAGGACAGCGCCTGGCCCGCAGTGGTGCCAATTCAGGGCCGTCAATGGCAGACGCTGCCCTTCTCTAAAGTTGTCCTTCGCTCTTCTGTTTACTGGGTGCTTAATCTCATCACAGCAGCAGCTGCCACTTTCCCGCATGCTCCCTGCACGCCAGGCCCTGTGCCACCTCCAAGGTGGGTGTTTCTTCTCTACAGAGGAGGACCTGCAGGTGAGCGATGGCCCAGCTCCTCCAGGGCGGGTGGGGGATCCGCCTCCAGAGCCTGCACCTGACCGCCGTGCGGCCAAGACCTGTCCACCCTGACACCACTGGCCGTCCCCTCCATTGTACAGACAAGGAAACCGAGGCCTGAAGGCTCCTGAAACAGTAGGGCTGCTGGGCCCAGACATCTGGGATCACTGCCTCCCTCCCTGGAGAGCGCCTGCTCCCGGCCCTGCTTTCCCCGTTGACCTCGCCGTCAGGAGTCGTTGGCCTGGCACGTCATGTGGTCCAGGCTTCCTGGTTTGTCTCCAGGGCCCTGTTCTCTTGTTTTCCCGATTTCTGCCTCACTGGAGTCCTGTGTGGGGCAGCACAGGGGCCCCTTGGGCCTGGGTAACCTCTCAGGGACAGGGGCCTGTCCCGGGGCCTGGGGCTCACCTAGCTCGGCGGTGAACAGCTGGCACGTCTCTGGGTTGCGGACGGTGAAGGCAATGTAGGCATCAGGCGCCCGCTGGCCCTTCTGGCAGGCAGAGAGCCTCTGCAGGACGCCGACCAGGGAGAGGACCGTCTCTGGGCTATACAGCACATCTGTGACGAGAAAGCCCTGGTTATTGGAAGGGACTCCCCCTGGGATTCAAGACCCATAAGGAGGGCGCTGGGTGGTGCCGACCCCTGCAGTGGGGCGAGGGCCTGGATCGCAGCAGTTCTTTTAGATGGAGAGAAATTACTCGGGTTAAAAAGGAGAGAAAAAGGCTGCTGAAAGACACCGCAACAAATGAAAACTATCCAGGACTCACTGCTGTTCCTCAAAAAACATGTCAATTCTTTGCCTATGGCCTATTTTGTTAGTGCCATCAAGTCGATTCCGACTCCTAGTGCCCCTGTGTACAGCAGAGCAGAACCCCGTCCAGTCTTTCTGTGCCATCCTCTCACCTTCTGGCGCTATATCAGACAATGCTCCACTGCTATTCACAGGGTTTTCATGGCCAGTTTTTTGCAAGTGGGTGGCCAAGTCCCTCTTCCTAGTCTGTCTAGTCTAGGTGCTCCACTGAAACCTGTCCACCAGGGGTGACCCTGCTGGTATTTGAAATACCGGTGGCATAGCTCTCAGCATCACAGCAACAGGCAGCCACCACAGTATGACAACCAACAGATGGGTGGTGTGGTTCCCTGACGGGGAAAAGGATCCAGGCCACAGCAGTGAGAGTGCCAAAACTTAACCACCGGACCACCAGGGCTGGCTATGGCCTACTGAGAAGACACTTAATGAAGCAAACCCTGACCCTCTGTCTCAGACCTTGTTCCGGTGGCCTGCCGCTTTGTTAGCTGTTGTCGGGGACAAGCTCGCTCCCACCTGTCTGCCGGGCTTGCAGGGACAGGTGCCACCGTGGGGTGTGCTGCTCTGGCTCTGTGTTCAGGCCGTGACGCAGGACCGAGGCACAGCACTGTCAGCCAGAGGGGACCACGTGAGCTCGGCGGAGGACGAGGGGCCTGTTGGTGGCCGTGCCCTTCTCTCAAGGACCCCGTCCTTGCACCAGAACTGGGTGGTCCCTTCCTTGAGACGGGGGCTCATCTCTGAAAGACGCCGGTTGTGGATCTAGGACAGAGATGTACAGGCGGAGCCCTCGGCCTCAGGGCCATGCAGACAGGTGGTGACGACACAGACGTGCACGGAGCAGACGGAAGCAAGTGTTGACGGCAGGGGGGCACCCAGAGCTCGCTCCCCCACTCGGCCACACTGCGGTCCCACCCTAGGCTGGCCCAGGGCTGGGTGGGCAGAGGAATCACACACGGTCCTGGGAGCATCATGCTGTTCTCGGTGGCCCAGAGAAGACAAGGCTGCCATGGCCATTTCCACCACGTCTGACGACGGGGTCAGGGGTGGAGGTGGGGCTGGCTCGGCTCCTTTGCTTCATGGGGCTGCTCTGGACACTTCATTTAGGTTCTGGATGGCACTGACAGGCCCCCCTCAGGCTGCTGGGGAGGGACATGAAGGTCTGTGTACTGGGCTGTGGCTGGCCAAGACTGGTCAGACTGGTTTGGTGTCCCAGGGCCAGTTCTGTCCATCCCAGGCCTGGCTGGGTTCCCTCATTGATGGGACCATTATGGTGGGCATATGTGTGGCCACTGTCTCAACCGACAGGGCTGTGGCTTTAGGGCACCCAAGAGGCACGCTGTGTGCTTTCATGTCACCCTGGAGGCCCACATGGCCCTTCCTGACATCCCATCACCCCCTACCACTGTCCCCTTCACCAAGCTGAGAGCTGGGTGGAGCCACAGGGACGCTTCTCGCTTGAGTGGCCTGGGCAGTGGTACCTGCGGCGATGACCACGTCAGGCTGGAAGGCAGCAAGCTGAGGGACCGTCACGTGGTCCCAGTCCAGCCGGGCCACCATCACCCTGGGGCTCTCTGAGTCGTGGGTGTTGTGTCCTGGGTGCTGTGCAGGGGTGGTGACGTCTGGCTCCAGTGAGAGGCCGTTGAGCAGGATGTTCCCTCGGAGCTGTTCGAGGACGTGGCTGTGACAGTCGCTGAAGACGTATGCTCTGGGATGGCACGTCTTGCAAATGGCCAGGCCCGTGAGGCCAGCCCCACTGCCGAGCTCTAGGACAGTCCTGGGTGGGAGAAGGGGACCCGTGTCTGTGTCCGTGCCTGGGCAAAATTGCCTCAGTGCCCTGCCCTGCATCCCCAGCTCACCTGTGAGTGAAGGCCGCCGGGTTCTCGATGGCCCATTCTGCGAGGTAGAGTGCGGCGTTCCACGTGACCAGGCCCGTGGTGCCGTGGGAAATGATGGCTGTGCTCTCAGAGAGCGTGACCGAGTCCCCAGAAGGCTGGACCAAGACAAGGAGAGAGAATTAATCCAGCCACCGGAATACAAGGAGCTGGTGTTAAAAAAAAATCACAACAGGTGGATGGCTAAACAAACCGTGGTGCCTCCATGCCACGGAATACTATGCAGCAATGAAAAGGAACAAACTATTGATGTGCGCACCAACCTGGATGGATCCCAAGGGCACAATGCCGAGTGAAAAAAGCCAATCTTAGAAGGTCACATACTGTGTAATTCCATTTATCTAACATCCTCAAAACGACAGAATTGTGGAGATGGAGAACAGATTAGTGGTTACCAGGGGTAGGGATGGTGGGGACAGGGGTGGGTGTGACTATAAAGGGTGGCACAAAGGAGGTCTTTGTGGTGCCAGAACAGTTCTGTATCCTGACCGCAGTGGTGCCTGTGCAGACCCACACATGTGATAAACGACGCAGAACCACACACACACATGGTGCCAACATTTACGTCCTGGTTGCGACGCTGCACGAGTTATGTGAGAGGTTTCCACTGGGGGAAGCTGGGGAAGGGCCCATGGGACCTCTCTGTACTATTTTTGCAGCTTCCTGTGAATCTATAATTATTAACCAAAAAAATCACGATTCTCTGGCATCATGAGTCACATGTGAACAATCTCAGCAGGTGGGGCCTTCCTCAGTTCAACCTGACGTCTGGGGCCTGGGACTCTGCTCCCAAAGCAGGCGGATGACCCCTCGCTTGGTCTGCGGGCAAGTGCTTCCTGGAATGGGCAGTCCTGAAACGTGATCTCCAAGCTGGGGGGCTGAGGATGGCGCCCCCAGCATGCAGCCACCCAGGGGGCGGGGGGGTTCTGGCTGTCTCAGCTCATGGAGCTCATGCAGGGGTTCGAGTCTCTAGAGTATTGTGAGCCCATTTGTTCACTCATCCATCCACTCGTTTTCCTGAGCATCTACTGTGGGTGCTGGGGATTCAGCCGTGACGAGAGGAACTCATTTGCTGTCCTCACAGAACAGGTGAGATGAGAAAAACAACTGTGTTTTTCTGAGTTGCTGCCTCAGCATTTCATAGTATGACAACCCTGCTCACACCCCGAGTCCGGACATTCAGACAAGGACCGGAGCTTAGGATTCCCACCGTAAGTGCCTGCTTCGCTTTTCCCGGGGCACCTTTTAAAATAAGCACTTAGAGGGCCGGCCCCATGGCTTAGCGGTTAAGAGCGCGTGCTCTGCTACTGGCGGCCTGGGTTTGGATCCCGGGCGCGCACCGACGCACTGCTTCTCTGGCCATGCTGAGGCCGCGTCCCACATACAGCAACTAGAAGGATGTGCAGTTATGACATACAACTATCTACTGGGGCTTTGGGGAAGAAAAAAAGGAGGAGGATTGGCAATAGATGTTAGTTCAGAGCTGGTCTTCCTCAGCAAAAAGAGGAGGATTAGCATGGATGTTAGCTCAGGGCTGATCTTCCTCACACACACACAAATAATAATAATAATAAAAAAAAATAAAACATAAAATAAGCACTTAGAGTTAAGCCCTTGAAAAGTTAGTGACCTCCGCCCCCCCCCCACCTTATAAGTGATGGGTGCTGGCTACCCTGCTCTCTGTCTCCTGCTCGCTCCTGACCTGGGACGGAGGACTGCCCTTCCCTCATTACACACACACACACACCCTGCTTCTGTGATCTGGAAGCAACAAATCTTGTGACTGTGTTTCCACTGTGTGGGTGTACTGAAATACACACACACACACACACACACAGACACCTGCTTTAAGCAACAAATCTTGTGACTGCTTCCATTGTGGGGGTGTACTGAAACACACACACACACACACACACACACACACACACACACACCTGCTTTAAGCAACAAATCTTGTGACTCTGCTTCCGTTGTGTGGGTGTACTGAAACTGTGTCTTCAATCAAAACAACCCTGTGGGTCTCGCTTCCCCAGAGCAGGAGCTCCGATGCTGAGCGCTACCTGCCGACCCCGTGTGGAGGGCTTGTGCCCCTCATTCCGCAGGTCATCACCTGCATATTCTTAGTTCAATACACCACCTCTGGGTTCTCAACATGCAAGATCTCTGTGAACCTGAAAATATGAGTATATGAGGGCACACCACAACAGATGTGACCCGCATGTGCTCAACCTGTCTGTGGAGATGGAATGGGGAAGCAACGGGGTGTGTGGCAGGAGAACCCCAGTAGCCAACATGCATTCACTAGAAATGCAGGGGCTGGCTGGGAACAGTGCCCACCGAACAGGGAACTTGCCTGCTGCAGTGGGGGCGGGGGGGCTGTGAAGGACCCGGGGCGAGGCCTGATGGCCACTAGACACACTCAGAAATGTGTGACAGTAACAGAAAATATCATTTCAGAAATAACGACTACTCGAAGGAACATGAGAAGGAAAACAGAAGAAAACAGATAAACCCTTAAGAGAAATAGGAGGTAAAAAGGAAATTTTAAAAATCAAAAAGAAATTAAGAAAGAGACTATCATGGGTCTAACTGTGTCCTCCCCCAGCACCTCATATGTGACCTTATTTGGAGACAGGGTCTTTACAGAGGGAACTGAGTTAAGATGAGGGCGTTAGGGTGGGCTCTAATCCAATATGACTGGTGTCCTTAGGAGAAGAGATGAGGACACAGAGGCAACAGAGGGAAGACGATATGAAGAGGCGGGGAGAAGACGGCCGTCTACAAGCCAAGGAGAGAGGCCTGGAGCAGATCCCTCCCTCACAGCCTCAGAAGGAACCAACCCTGCCCACACCTGATCTCGGAGTTGTAGCTTCCAGGGTTGTGAAATGATAAATTTCTGTTGTTTAAACCACCCAGTTTTAGATATTTAGTTACAGAAAACAAAAGCCAAGAACAAATACTAAAGATCATAATTTAAAAAAACATTCTGGAAAAAAACAAGATTACCGACCCAGAATGACCAATCTCAAGACATATTTGCGTAAAATTACTGGACTTTAAAGAAAAAAATCCTTTGGCCGTCTAAGAGAAAAGGGCATGTGATGTAAAAGGGAAGGAAAATTAAATTATCATCAGGCCTTTCCACAGCACAGCTTTATGTCAAAGAACATGGAGAGAAAATGTGAGTCAGGATTCAAGTATAAACGGCTCAAACTGTTATCATCATGTAAGAACTCCGGGAGGGTCAATCCCATGAGCGCTTCTTAAGAACCTACTAAAAACGAACTTCAGACAACCAAAATGGCTAGAGAGACATCAACATATGGACGGATGGTGAGCTCTAAAGATACGATCATCTGTAGAACTGAGACTAAATGGGACTGAAAAGGAAGACATGATTGTAGGTGTTCTCGGCCAAATAATGTTTATGCCCTAATCCCTAGACCCTGTGACTATGTTATGTTACTTGGCAAAGGGACTCTGAAAATGCACTTAAGGTGCAGAACTTGAGATGGGGAAATTATCCTGGATGATCTGGGTGGGCCCAATTTAGTCATCTGAGCCCTTAACACGAGGGCTGCAGTCTAAGAAGTGCAGAGGAAGAAGGGGCAGGAGAGATCTGAATCGTGAGAGGAGCTCCACCAGCTGTCGCTGGCTTTGGAGATGAAGGCGCCACAAGGCAGGGGACAGGGGGCGGCCTCTGGAAGCTGAGAACAACCCCTGGCCAAGAGCCAGCAAGGAAATGGAATGTCACTCCTGCAGCCGCAGGAAACGTAATTGTGCCGACCACCTGAACGAGCCTGGAAGCGGGTTCTCCCCCAGAGCCCTGACTTCAGCCCTGAGAGACCCAAAGAGGAGAGAGCAGCTGAGCCCATCAGGCTCCTGAGCCGGGGAACGTAAGAAAACACGTTTATGATGCTTCAAGCAGCTGAGTCGTGGAATACTATGTAACGGCTCTAGGATGAAAATGTAGCTATGGTACGGCCATAAACAAGCAAACAAAAGGAGGGGGAGGGGGACAGTGGGTGTAAACACTGACACTGTTCTCAGTGACCGTGACTGGTGGGAGGGATTAGCACTGCTGTCTGAGACGGCCGCCTGAGTCCCATGGGGTGAAGCAAACAGGCAGTTGTGGGGGATCCTAACATCACCCCCGGGCTCCCGAGGACCAGAATTCCCAGCACAGGAGAAGGGAGATACAGACACAATGTAAAGAGGTTGAGAGAAATTTTGAATCAGAAACATCATCATGGACTCGTGAGGTATTCTATCTTAAGTATGGATCTATATCACCACCTGTATCCTAGTCTTTCCACTGGAAAGGCCTAGACAGCAGCCACGAGTATCCCTAATGCCCAGACTGTGGTCTCTAAACATCATCTCCCACTAACGAAACCAGGGCTTCCTGAAGACATGGCTGATTCCAGGATGAGGGCAGGAAATACACAGGCTGAGTGTGGAAAAGCTTGACATGAAATGACACAAGAACACTGTGAGGGCGATGTCACAGGACTCAGACGCCCATCTGAAATGGCTCAAAACAGCACAGTCTGAGCCTCAACAAGGACACGATTGCGTAGACTGAACCTCTTCTGAGGATGATGCGAGACTAATCCACAATGTTGAAAAGGAAGGATCAAGCCTGTCTCCTGCCTTTCCTCTATAGCTGTACCACTGGGGAACCAAACAGTGGACGAAGGGAGGCATGTCCTTATAAAATTTCTCCAGGTAATGGATGGAAACAAAATGATAGGATTAGAAAATCACCTTTTTGCATCCCTCAATGAATTAATGCATCTAAACTTTGGGCACCCATAACTGCTACCATTAAAAGGTGAAAAACAGATACAACGTGTCTCCTGGGACCCCATATTGCGTTCCTGCCAGGGGGATCAAATGGATAGGAGTGTGAGCAGGCCTCCCAATACAGCTGCCAATGGGGGGAAACAGAGGCGAGAGGAACAAGCTGACAGCCCCCGCCTGTGCAACCACATCCGGCCTGCGGAAAGCTGTCCAGGCCAACCCGCCAGGGCTGGTCCACGGAGACACGGCCGGAAAAGAAAGAGCTGGGGGACCTGCGGATGGAGGGAGACTTCAAGCCAGACCTAGTTAATGGGCAAGACTACAGGCTGTGTCCAGAGGAGCCCACGGGAGTGACTGCTCTGAAAGGCAGACAGTGGTGACTTCTGCAGGGAGGGAGGGCGGGGATGGGGAAGGCTCAGACCCTTGGGGGTCAAAGTCTGTGACCAGATCAGCGGTTACCACGGTGGCCGCCTTGCAACGATTCAATAATCTGTATATTTCTTTTGTGTGATTTCCTATATCTAGGTTTTATTTCATAATAAAAGGTTAAAAACAAACAAACAAAAAAACCCAAGAGCCCCCTGGCAGTTGTGTGCAGCACGGACTTTTGTGGGGCAGGAAGCCGGAAGGCCAGGCAGAAGGCGCTGGCATTTGTCCAGGTGAGGATGGTGGTGGAGAGCAGGAAGAGACTGCTGTCCTGTAACCTCCGCCCAGCAAGTATTCACTGAGGACTGAGCCCAGGCCCGGAGTGCAGTTACTGTGCAGGACCTAACTCAACCCCCAGCTGTCCCAGGAGATCGATGCTATTATTGTTGAAGTGCTTGGTTTACAGACCGGGAAACTGAGGCTCATGGAGGTTAACGGTCCCGTCTAAGACTACGGAGCTGATGAGTCATGATCTGAACTCACGGGAGGCTGACAGGAGCCTGAGTTCTAACTCTGCCCGGCCCAGGTGGGGTGGGGCGAAGGTCTCCTACCAGCAGGTAGCTCCGGTGGCATTGGGGGCACTCCTCGGCCGTCAGGACCTCCGCCAGCGCCTCGTACAGCTCGTCCAAAGGCTCCGCGTGGACAGCCTCATGCTGGGGAGGACAGAGCGAGAGCTTTAGCCAAGAGGATTAAGTCACCCTCACAAATCAAACAAAGGTTCCAACTTGTAAAAACGGATGGAGGATTTTCACCCTATTTAGAGGGGAGATCCAGGATGGACTGACTGAATACAGGCGACCTGGCATATAACAAATTCACTTGGCGGGGACCTTGGAGAGGTGTAGAGAGGGTGACGTGTAGTCTAGGGCAGCAGAAACGGGACTGCATGAGTCGCCGTGTGACGGGGACAGGGGGCTCTGCCCTTCTATCACGATGCTGTGGATGGAGAAAACAGACGGCGCTTTGCAGCGAGCCCAGGCAGAGCCACGAGGACGGGCGCCCCACACGGTGGGGTGGTGCTCATCAAGCTGCTTCTCAACAGGCAGCCCCGTCGTGCGCCTCACGGGGCAGCAGCAGGGCGGCCACTCCTCTCCTGGTGGTGCTGGGGAGGCCTGCTGGGGACGACCACCTGCACCATTTGGTGAGAACTTGGTGGGGGGTGGGTAAGAGAGAAGCCGGGACTGTCCCGTGTGCTGAGCCGGGGCGAGGCGCGGCCCTCATGAGCGGTGGCCGGCCACATCCGGTCTGCTGCTGACCGCTGAGGAGTCGCCTCTCTGAGGTCCAGATTAACGTGAAACCCAGCAAGTCCGCGCTCGTCCTGAAAATCCCTCCCGCATCAGTCAGGAGGAGAGTCCACACCAGGTGGTTCACGGGGGAGAAGCGAGCTCGTCACAGAGGTACTGCCAGACCTAACACCTCCAACAGCGAGGCAATCCGGAGACTGGCACCAGCAGGAAGCTGTCAAAACCCCTCGGGCTGGCAGGACAGGGGGACGAGGCGGGCAAGGGGCGGACGGGGGATGACTGAGACCAAAAGGGAGATGCAGCTGCTGCTGGAGGCCCTGGAAGCGGAGGGAGAAATACCCTGGCTCTCCCTTCCTCCCGCCCCCGTGGCCTTTCATTGGTTGAACCCAGCTGGGAGTGGTTGCCTACCACGCAGAGCAGGCAACGGGCACACGACGGATCTGAGCCCCATCGGGCAGAGCCCAGGCAGAGCGCCCACTGCTGGGGCGCCGCCGAGACCCCGCGCCGCCTGGCTAGCGGCCAGGCCGTCACTCACCTTCCTGATGAGCTCCGAGAGGAAGCCCCGGGCGTACTTCCCCGAGGGCGGGTGCTTCACGCACAGGGGATGCTTCACGGTCTGTGACAGAGGACACACTGTGAGTAGCTGCAGTCTCCCCCGAGCTTCAGGGCAGTACAGGGCAAACCCCAGGAACCCGGGCTCTCAGCAAAGACGTGTACAGGCCCGTGGGTTCTGGCCCCAGCCGACCCTCATGCATCTGAAAGCGTAAGTCTTAAAGATATAAGCCCTTTTCTAAAAAAATTTCTCCCCTTCAGTGGCACAGACTGTGGCAGTGTTGCTAATGCCCACTCTGGGCAGGAACATGGGACACCTGGATTCAAGCTAACACTCGGCTGCAGACTGAATGTCTGCGTCCCTCCAAAATTCATATGTGAAGTCCTAACCCCCAGGGTGATGGTGCTAGGAGGTGGGGCCTTTGGGAGGTGATTAGGTCATGAGGGTGAAGCCCTCATGAATGGGATTAGTGCGCTCACAAAAGAGACCCCAGAGAGCTCCCTCACCCCTTCTGCCATGTGAGGACACACCAAGATGGCAGGAAGTGGCGGCTGGCACCTTGATCTTGGACTTCCCAGCCTCCAGAACAGTGAGGAATGAATTCCTGTTGTTGATCAGCCACCCAGTCTGTGGTATTCTGTTACAGCACTGGAAACGGCTGACACACCCTTCCCAGGACAGCCAGCGTGAACCAGAGTTTGCAGTGAGGACAACTGTGGGTTGTCTGGCCCTGTGAAGACGGGAGAGCCCACACAGTGGGAACAAGGCAGAGCCAGCACCTGCCCTCCTGGGGCTCACATCACAGGCCGAGGAGACGGGAAGCAGTACGTGACGGCCAGGGCCGAGGAAGATGGGGTGGAGGGGAAGGGGGCTCTCAGGGGCAACACTGCAGCTGAAGCCTAGAGAAGAAAGAGCAGAGAGAGCGAGTTCCAGGCAGAGGGGATGGCTGTGCGGCCTCTGAAGCGGCCTCGGCCTGGCATTCTGGGAAGCAGGGCAGAGCGACAGGAGCAGTGAGGGTAGGGGCCGGGTCACGTGAGGCCTGTTGGCCAGAGGGACACGATTTTGCCCCAAGGGCAACAAAATACCCACACAATCCTCCAGGGGCTTTCAAATCGGCTGGTGTCAGGTTTTAACCTCAGGGTGACGATCAGAGTTGGCTGCAAGACCGTGACCTCTCGGAGCTCACAGTCCTAGCTACTGGACTGCCCTGGGTCTTCCCTGGCTACAGCTGCGTCTTTTCCACCCGCGGGTCAGATGGAAAATCTTGCTTCACCCTCTACACAGGAATTCTTAACCTGGGCTCCTTGGACAGGCTTGGTGGTTGGAGGGGGGTCTGTGACTCCCCTGAATTTGTACACAAAAGATATTCTTCTAGTACATTTTTCTCTGGAGGGAGAGTCTATAGCTTTGGGTTTTCAGAAGCGTTCACAACTCTTAAGGGGGTTAAGAGCCAGGAGGCAGTGTGATCTGCACTTTATGCACGTGGCCAGGGGCGGGGCCAGGCCAGGCAGAGTGGTGGTCCCACCCCTACCCTGCACCCAGATACACCTCAGAATCCAAACCCCACCTCCAAAATGCAGTGGTCCAGACGTCAGTGGGCCAGACTCTCCTCATTTTTCCCTTAAATGTAAAGAAGAAAGTCTCCGAGCAGCTAGCAAACGCTAGAAGACATTCCCACAGCTGTCAGCTTGGTTTTCACTGTGGACGGTGTAAAAACATCCCCTAGGCTCCTCCTCTCACGCAGATTCTTGTCTATTCTGTCGTCTTTATCTAAGAAAACCAAAGAGCCAGAGCTGTCTGAGGAGCTGCCCCCCAAATACAGTGTCTTTCTTTTTTCTTTTTTATGAGGAAGATGAGCCCTGAGCTAACATCCGTTGCCAATCCTCCTCCTTTTGCTGAGGAAGACTGGCCCTGGGCTAATATCCACGCCCATCTTCCTCTACTTTATTTGGGACGCCGCCACAGCATGGCTTGATAAGTAGTGTGTAGGTTCTTGCCTGGGATCCGAACCTGTGAACCCAGAGCCACCAAAGTGGAGCATGCGAACCTAACCACTATGCCACCGGGCTGGCCCCAGTGTCTTTCTTTTTAAAAGATACAAGCGCTCCCAACGTACTTCTGTCGTGTCTTCATGGGCAAGTCAATAGGCCGGTGACATGTCCCAGTGCTTCTGTGATTCTCACCTTCTGCAAAATATCCAGCAGCAGCTCAGGACCTGACGCGTCCCTTAGTTTCTCTTCCAGGCTCTATTTGGAGAGGCGGGGGAGAGAGAAATCTCAAGTGCGTTTTCACAGGAACATAAAATACGCAATAGGACATGGTGGCCAAGCTGGAAGTGATCCCTCCCCAGGGACCTGGGGCCAAATGCAAGCGGAGGCCGCCAGCGGCGGAAGCCTGACCTTGAGAAGTGCGGTCACACCTGGGGGAGTCAGAGAGAAGGTGGGAAGACAGACTCTTGGTTCGCGTCAGTGCTGGCCGCTTAGCCCCGCCGGGGTCACAGCCCAGCTCCGTGACTGAACCAGTCAGCCAGGAGTTACGGGGCAGCCACAGCATGAACGCCTGAGGGATTCGCCCTGGACCCGACATCGGAGTTAAAATGGACACACCTCCTCATGAGGTGGCAGCATGAGCTGCCAGGCCCGGGTCTGCTGACCTCCCCCGCAAGGGGCTCCAGCCCAGCAGGGGGCTCGGGCGCCAGAAGGAGGCAGACTGGCCCAGCTTGTGTGTGACACCAGGAAATCATTTCTCCCGAGCGCCTTACCAGGCCCTAAAAGGCTACAAGACCTGGCCTGGCCTCTCTCTCTGACCTCATCTGTCACCACCCCCGTCCCATTCCTGCTCACTCCACGCCAGCCACACTGGTGTCCTTACAGCAGCAAGACCTTCACACTCCCTGCTCCCCAAGAGCTTCCCACAGCCAGCCGGCTGCTTCGCTGTTCAGGTCCCGCCTCAAGTATCACCTCCTGGGGCGGGGGGTTGACTCTCCTACTTTGATGATACATTTCCCTGTGTTATTGACTACAGCCACTGTCATCTCCTGGCACTTTCTTGCTCATTCATTTACCTGCTTCTTGTCTGGCTCTCCTATCCGAGCAGGCCCTCGCCTGTAACGTGTACCACTGATCCTGGCACCTGGCTCACGGCAGGCTCTCAGTAAACATTTGGTGAAGGAATAAAAACATGGGCTAACACTTACATCCACTTACCACAAGCCAGGCACTCTCTCAGGAGCTTCTTAATCACATAATCCTGACAACAGCCTTATGAGGTGAGCATCATTATATCCTGTTTACTAATAAGAAAACTAAGGCACAGAGAGATGCAGTCACTTGCCCAAGGTCACACGGCGTGTACAGGGTTGGGCCAGGATTCAAAGCAGGCAGGCTGTCTCCCAGGTCAGAGCCCTCCACGGTTGCATTCCCCTTCTTTTCTAATCAAACCACCTTTCTGGTCAACCGCCAATGAGAGTAATAGCCCCCGGCCCACGCGGGTTGTGGGCCAGCCTAAGGAGCAGTGAGCGTGGGTCTGGGGCAGAGTAAGCACCCACTTCATGTGAACACTTCCAGTCATAATGAATTGGGACCCATGGATGCTCTTATGAAAAGATTTAAATTTTGAGTTAAAAAATGTACATATTCCTTTCTGATCAGAAATGATCTTTCAGAATGCTAAATAGTTTATGTCAACGAGACAAATGACTAAAAACTACCCCTTAAGATGGGCAGCGAGGAGAGAAATATGTACTCAAACTGAGTCATCGCAGTGAGCTCACCGCACATGAATTACGGAGACAGTGTCATCAGAGTCCCTGGCTTGGCAGGTCCCCAGGGCAGGGGAGGTGAGCTGTCTTTTCAGGCCTGTTTTGTACCTCCCTGTCGCTTCCATCAGAGGCAAGAGCCTCAAGCTGCCTCTGAGAGGACTTTTTGTCCAATGCTGATGACACAGATGAGAACACGAGGCCCGGGGGTGTGGGGTCTGCGACCTCGTCACTGCGCTCTTTGCAACGTGGTCTCCCGCTGTCCTGAGGACGCTGCCTGTTTAAACGGGCAGCAGCAGCCGTTACCCAATGGCCAGGACGCTAACTGGCTAAAAAAGAGTAATGAAATTGATCGTGAACTCTGTATGACCCCAAAACCCTGAGCGCACAAGGGAGCGGGGCGGAAACCCCGCACCCCTTAAATTCGCGGGATTCCGTCTGCGAAGGGAGCGAGGGCGGGAAGGGCCCACGGGAGGAGGGGGCTGACGGCCGGGCGCAGGGAGGGCCCCCGAGGGCGCGCAGGCGTGCCTCCCGCTCCCCGCCGCCAGCCCGCGCGGCCCCGG